CTCTGAGCTGTACCTGTCCCACCAATCCGTATTTGCCATCACGTATCAACCACTGTTTCTGAGGGTGTGGGTGGAAAACTTGCGGCTTGAGTAACTGACCTTCCATTTATCAGTCGTGGAAACTTTCAACTTCCTATGTGATCTCTCTCTTAACAGTGGCTTTTCTTTTTCACCTTGCTGGCCAGGATCTGAGGTGTCTGCTCATGTGCTTAGTAACAGTAGCCTCCCAGGGCAAAGGCAGAGGCCCCTAGACTCCACCAGCACTTAGATTTTTCACTTAATGTGCTGTATGGTAAATACGGATCCACTGGTCTGTTTTACCCAGCTGACTTGAGCCTTTAAAGGCAGGAGTTACGTTTGGTCATTATTATCTGATGTATCTTGAGCACTTAGTGCCAAGATGGATGCCAGGTGCCAAGTTGGATGTTTCATCTATAGTATCTACTGTCGTCATCACAGCTTTTCTTTTCTTTAAATTTATTCATGTATTCACTTATTTATTTGGTTGTGTTAGGTTCTAGTTGCAGTGCATTGGCTCTCCAGTTGTGGTGTACAGGCTTGCTAGTTGCAGCATGCAGGCTTCGAGGCATGTGGGCTCTTAGTTACTGTACCAGGGATTGAACCCATGTCCCCTGCATTGCAAAGCAGACTCTCAACCATTGAACCACCAGGGAAGTTCCCATCACAACTTTTCAAATGTATTATCATCCTTGTCTATCACTTGTCCATCCTCATTCACTCACCATGGAAATATTTATTGTAGACCTTACAAGCTAGGACTGATGCTATATGCTGTGGCCAATCATGATGACCGAAACTGCTCTTTCCGTCATGGAACTTACAGAGGACTGGGAAAGATGATATTCAACAAATAATTTGGACACACTGTAGGGAGTGTAATGTAGTTCAAGGGCCTGTCCAGATTCAGTCCAGTCACTCAGTAGTGTCCAACTCTCTGCAACCCCATAGACTGCCGTACGCCAGGCCTCCCTGTCCATCACCAACTCCCGGAGCTTTCTCAAATTCATGTCAATCGAGTCAGTGATGCCATCCAACCATCTCATCCTCTGTCGTCCCCTTATCCTCCCACCTTCAGTCTTTCCCAGCATCAGCGTCTTTTCCAATGAGTCAATTCTTTGCATCAGGTGGCCAAAGTATTGGAGTTTCAACTTCAGCAGCAGTCCTTCCAATGAATATTCAGGGCTGATTTCCTTTAAGATGGATGGGTTGGATCTCCTTGCAGTCCAAGAGACTCTCAAGAGTTTTCTCCAACACCACAATTCATAAGCATCAATTCTTCAGCACTCAGATTTCTTTATGGTCCAGCTCTCACATCATTACATGACTACTGGAAAAACCATAGCCTTGACTAGATGGGCCTTTGTTGGCAAAGTAACATCTTTGCTTTTTAATATGCTGTCTAGATTGGTCATAATTTTTCTTCCAAAGAGCAAGCATCTTTTAATTTCATGACTGCTGTCACCATCTGCAGTGATTTTGGAGCCCCCAAAATAAATTATCTGTTTCCATTGTTTCCCCCATCTATTTCCCATGAAGTGATGGGACCAGTTGCCATGATCTTAGTTTTTTGACTGTTAAGTTTTAAGCCATCTTTTTCACTCTCCTCTTTCACTTTCATCAAGAGGCTCTTTAGTTCTTTGATTTCTGCCATAAGGGTGTTATCATGTGCGTATATGAGGTTATTGTTATTTCTTCCTGCAGTCTTGATTCCAGCTTGTGCTTCATCCAGCCCGGCATTTCACATGATGTACTCTGCATATAAGTTAAATAAGCAGGGTGTCAATATATAGCCTTGATATACTCCTTTCCCAATTTGGAACCAGTTTGTTGTTCCCTGGTTCTAACTGTTGCTTCTTGACCTGCATACAGATTTCTCAGGAGGCAGGTAAGGTGGTCTGGTATTCCCATCTCTTGGAGATTTTTCCACAGTTTATTGTGATCTACACAGTCAAAGGCTTTGGCGTAATCAGTAAAGCAGAAGTAGATGTTTTTCTGGAATTGTCTTGCTTTTTTGATGGTCCAACAGATATTGACAATTTAATCTCTGGTTCCTCTGCATTTTCTAAATCCAGATTGAACATCTGGAAGTTCACAGTTCATGTATGATAGCTAATTCTTCTTAACTGTAATCAATCAGTAGTTATTAGAAACCTATTATTTGTTTTAGTTCTATGCTAGGCACTATACTAACATTATAAATTTGAACACATAAAAACCATTATGTATTACTGCACTGGAGAAGGGAATGGCAAACCTCTTCAGTAGTCTTGTCTTGAGAACCCCATTAACAGTATGGACAGGCGAAAATATATGATGAATTCCACAGGTTGATAGGTGCCCAGTATGCTACTGGAGATGAGTGGAGAAATAACTCCAGAAAGAATGAAGAAACAGAGCCAAAGCGAAAACATTGCCTAGTTGTGGATGTGACTGGTGATGGAAGTAAAATGCAATGCTGTAAAAAACAGTATTGCATAGGAACCTGGAATGTTAGGTCCGTGAATCAAGGTAAATTAGAAGTGGTCAAACAAGGGATGGCAAGAGTGAACATCAACATTTTAGGAATCAGTGAACTAAAATGGAATGGAAAGGGGTGGGGGGTTAACTCAGATGACCATTATATCTACTATTGTGGCCAAAAATCCCTTAGAAGAAATGGAGTAGCCCTCATAGTCAACAAAAGAGTCTGAAATGCAGTACTTGAGTGCAATCTCAAAAATGACAGAATGATCTCTGTTCATTTCCAAGGCAAACCATTCAGTATCACAGCAATCCAAGTCTTTGCCCCAACCAGCAACACCAAAGAAGCTGAAGTTTGAACATTTCTGTGACGACCTACAAGACCTTCTAGAACGAGCACCCAAAAAGGATGTCCTTTTCATCATAGGGGACTGGAATGCAAAAGTAGGAAGTCAAAAGCTACCTCGAGTAACAGGTATATTTGGCCGTGGAGTACAAAATGAAACAGGGCATAGGCTAGCAGAGTTTTGCCAAGAGAATGCACTGGTCATAGCAAACACCCTCTTCCAACAACACAAGAGAAGATTCTACACATGGACATCACCAGATGGTCAATACCATAATCGATCATATTCTTTGCAGCCAAAGATGAAGAAGCATTATACAGTCAGCAAAAACAAGACCAAGAACTGACTGTGGCTCAGATCATGAACTCCTTATTGCCAGATTCAGACTTAAATAGAAGAAAATAGGGAAAACCACTAGACCATTCAGGTATGGCCTAAAGCAAATCCCTGTCCAGGTGGCTTAGTTCAAACCCACCACTTAGCCTCTCTGCACCTCATCATCCTCTTCTGTAAAATGAGGCTAACAGGAGTGCCAGCTTCATGGGATACCATGAAGAGTGAATAGATTAACATGCGCAAAGCACTCTGAGCAGGGCTGTGCCCCAAGTGTATTGTTTCTGCTGGCCGTATGAAGCAGAGACATGGGTTGCCAGGTGTGTATGACGGGGAGGACCTGCTCTAGGAGACAAATGATGGAGTTCTACAGGATGAGTAGGCGTTAACTTGGCACAGTGTTTTGGAGGCAGGTGAGGGGAGCAGGATGTTGGAGGAATGTTCCTGGCAGAGAGGACAAGATACGCAGAACACAGGGTGTGGGCTACCTGAGGAGCTGCCGAGAAGTGTGGCTGGACCACAGCAGGCCGGGAGCCATACAGGGTCAGGTCTGGGAAGAGAGGGAAATACTGGCATAGAAGTACAGGCGTCTCCTGCACCCAGCTCTCTGCACCACGCTGTTTTTCCAGGCAATTGGGAGATGCTCAGTAAATATTTGTCACATAAGCAATCGAGCATGCAGACATGGTGTCTTGGCTATGAGTGTTCCAAGTCCCCCATCCAGAAAAGGAGTCCATTGTCCCATATACATAATATGTGAACTGTCCCAACCCCTCACTGTCAAGCCATACACATCTGTTTTGTTGGTTCCGCTCTCTCTTTTTTTTTGCCACATCATCACATGGCACGTGGGATCTTACTTCCCCGACCAGGGATTGAACCCACGCCCCCTGCTTTGGAAACAGAGTCTTAACCATTGGATCACTGCCAGGGAAGTCCCATGGCCCCTCTCTTGGCAGTAGACTAGCCGGTGTCAGTTTGGATGGGGAGTTCAGTAAGGTCATGCTGCCGGAATCCCCCACTCCACTGGGGCCTCAGCTCTAGCCCAGTGCTGTTCAGACTTGTTTAGTGGTGGCGCCTTGTGTTGAAATGATCTTAGAGGATACGCAGTATACAGAACACCATCAAACAGCTTCCATGGCTGAGGCTTGGGCAGGGGGACTCAGAGCACCTGGTCATAGCTGGCTCACCCGAGAAAAACGCCAGGGCTCCCTGAAACACAGAAAACCAAGTGAGGAACTTTGCCCCCGTTTTCGAGGTGTGGAAACTGAGGTCAGAGAGGAGGAGACGACTCTTCCAAGGTCACACAACCAGGGAAAGACCCAGAACTGGATCCCAGACATTTGACATCAGTTCCGCTGTCTCAAGGTGGGGCAGGGGCATGTGGCTGTGACCTTGTCAAGTCAGGGTACAGAGCATGAGAGACAAAAACCTGGCGGGCAGGCATGGGTGAGCTGCTCAGGGTCACGGCCTGGTTATGCCGTGCCTTTTTTTCCCGTCTCTCTCTCTTTTAATTTAGTTTGAGGTGGTTGTTTTTTGTTTCCTTAAGAAATGGGAACAGAATGAAGCTGCGTAAACACCACGATGTTAACTCCCTGAAAAACCTCCTGCCATTTTAACTCTGTTACTGGAGAAATAAAAGAGAAATAATTTGTCCACCCACACTTAGCTCTTTCTGACGAAGGTAGGTGAATATCGCCTTGCTAATCGAGGGTGACTGCTGGAAGTGGAGCCAGGCTGACTGATCTTGGATTGAGAGGAAGCCACGGCAACCCCAAAAGGAGCGCCCCGCGGGGTCGGCAGGGCTGGGGTCACCGGCCACGTTGTTACCTTCTGCAGGTGTCCCCCAGCCGGTAGGGATGGAGGCGCTGGACCAGGCCGAGGGGCCCGCGGCCTCACAGAGAGCGATGCCACCGCCCCCACCTGCTTCACCGCCCTCAGAGCCAGCTCAGAAGCCGCCACCTCGAGGCGCCGGGAGCCACTCCCTCACTGCCAGAAGCAGCCTGTGCCTGCTGGCTGCATCCCAGTTCTTGGTAAGGACATCACAGGCCTCGCCGGGTCCTGGAGGGAGGGCGGGTTGAGGGGCGGCCTCCACTTCCTCCCCAAGATGGCCGCCTCAGGACACAGAGGACTGAGGGGCCTTCCCGGTGTCCCTCGTGACTGCGGCCTCTCCGGTGTGAGGAGAAGGCTGGAGTTCCAAGCCACAGCCTCGAGGGCTGAGCCCCTCATGCTCTGAGCTCAGAAGCAGGAATGCAGACCCGGCCCCCAGCCCCCCTGGCCCTGCGGGGGTCCTTCTGAGGACTTCCTGTCTCTGGAGGCATCTCTAGGAGACTCCTCCTGTGATGTGTATACCTGGCGGGGTGGCGGGCTTCCCTCTGCAGAGGCTCCCTTAAGTCAGATTTTCTCCAAGGAAAGTCCCAGGCCCTTGCCTCTGCTGCACGGTCTGGAGTGGGGGGTGTAGGCGGTAGGTTGAGGCTCCAGGTGAGCTCCTGAGTGTGGGGGGACGGGGAGATATGGGGGCAAGGAGGCCAGACTCCGAACTCAGTGTGCTGGCCCCGGCCACCCCAGCTCGCCTGTGGGATGCTCTGGCTCAGCGGCTTTGGCCCCATCTGGACGCAGAACACCACAGACATCGTCTCCTCCGCGCTCACGTTCCTGGAGCGGCTGGGACCCTCGGTGAGTAAGCTCCAGGGAGCCCCAGAGTAGGAGGAAGCGGCTGGGGGCCTCCGGTCCCACCAGCCCCTGCCTGGGGCTTCTTTGAGTTCAGACGATAACCTTGAAAGGCTGGAAAACTGTCCCCTCCCCAGAACCAGGTACAAAGTTCTCAGAGCCTCAATCTTATGCCTGTTGAAATAGATGAGAACGCGCCCCCGCCCCCACCCCCACTTCTATCACCCTGAGCTGTTTGTCTGATGTTCCCCAGGCCTGGCTGGGCGCTGGGACCTGGGACGTGCCCAGTCTGCTGCTGATCTCTCTGTGTGTGATCCTCGTCTCCACCCTGGTAAGGCTCCTCCTGACCCGACCTCGTTGCTCCCCTCCCGTGACCCCAAGCCCCCGTCCTCACCTTGTCCCATTTGACCTACAGACTAGACGCTGTGGGTAGGGCTGAGGAGAGGCACCTGTCTTCTCCCACCAATGTGCCCAGGCTGGGGTGGGGGTAGGGAGAGGCACCTTCTTTCTCAAAATTGCTTTGCAGTGTTCTCGGCTGGGGAAGGGAGCTGAGGCAGTGTGAAAACCGGAGTAGGAACACCCCACCCCACCAAGAAAGCTTCAAAGCATAAGAACCTGAGGGTTGGGGAAGGAGGGGGCCAGGAGGACGTGGTTGGGGGATAGCCTCCCATCTAGGTGAGCGGTGGTGCCCTGCAGACAGTTCCCAGGACAACAAGCCTGCTCCAGAAACACGGAGGGGCAGGGAGCTCAAGCCCCTGGGCACGCCATCATCCGGGGGCTGCTGCCAGCATGGTCCATGATGCCAGTTGTGCCCCCAACTAGGTGTGGCTCCTCTTGAGGACTCCCCCAGAACCACCCAGCCCGCTGCCCCCCGAGGACAGGCGCCAGTCGGTAAGCCGTCAGCCCTCGTTCACCTACTCGGAGTGGATGGAGGAGAAGGTCGAGGATGACTTCCTGGATCTGGACCCCGTCCCCGAGACCCCTGTGTTCGACTGCGTGATGGACATCAAGCTGGAGGCCGACCCCACCTCCCTGACCGTCAAGGCCATGGGTCTGCAGGAGAGGTGGGTGCGGCAGAGGCGCATGGAGCTCTCGGCTCCCTGTCGGAAGGGCAAATGCCTGACTCTGACTCCCAGTGCCCAGGGCAGAGCTGAGCTCATAGCCCCACCAATGCAGACATGTGCTCTTCAGGTCTGATTCATGCAGATCTGAATGCCCCAAAGTGAACACTAAGAAACTTTATTACTGCATACAGACACATAGTCATGCACAGGTGTACACATGTGCACACTCACACATACAACTCTGTGGCTCGGATAGGTTTCTTTACCGTAGGACTTGTTAGGAGCCTTTAACATGCTTGTAGTCATTGTAAATTGACAAGGGGTTGCGTGTAGCCTTCCTCAAAGTCATCCGACCACAGAAGCCTGCTTTCGTGGTGTCTCGAAGAGTTCCACAAAGCACATGTTGGGAGGTGTCAGCACCCTCTTTGCAGAGCCTGGCTGGGTTAGCTAGATCCCACCAGGGTTGTGTTGTCCACATGATGTCGTGGAAAGAGCATTGGAGGAGGAGTCAGAAAACCTAGGTTTTTGCTTCAGCTCTGCCACCCCCTTACTGTGTGTGCTTGGGCAATGCTTATCCCCTCTGTGGCTTTCAGTTTCCCTTTCTAGGTAATGAGGGTAATGGGCCACTAGACTCTGAACACATAGCAGGGTCTGCTCAGTCCGCTTATCCTCGCTCCGCTGTGCTACCCCTGGGAGCCCGTCTTCCCTGAGCCTTTCCTGGATGAGACGTCCTTGGAGGCTGCAGCCCCGGGGGTTGGGGTACAGAGGGTGGAGCCCTGCTTCTCTGCCCCAGGCACGTGCCCTCTTGGTGAGCTTCCCCTGGCTCTGGGAGCTGCCTCTGGCAAGGGTCACAGGAGAGTGCAGGGAAGGACTGTATTGAGGAGCCTCACATGGAATCTTTGGGACTGGGGCCCGAGCCCATACTCAGTTACTCTGCTGCAGGAGGCAGGAGCAGGTGGCGGGCTTAAGCCTTAGGGCTGAGCCTCACACTGTGTTGGGGTGATGTCACACCCACTCCTCTCCCTGGGACCCATCGGGTTCCCACCCCATCTCCCACTCCCTCATCCTCTTGCTCCAAGGCGCCAGCTAATGGTCCTCCCTGCCCCTGATCCTCACCACCCCCTTCCTGGTCCTTCCAGGAGGGGCTCCAACGTCTCCCTGACCCTGGATATGTGCACGCCGGGCTGCAACGAGGAGGGCTTCGGCTATCTCATGTCCCCCCGTGAGGAGTCAGCCCGAGAATACCTGCTCAGCGCCTCCCGCGTGCTCCAGGCCGAAGAGCTTCACGAGAAGGCCCTGGACCCCTTCCTGCTGCAGGCAGAATTCTTTGTGAGTCCCCCTGAGCCAGCGCCCCTGCAGGGGCCAGCCCTTTATGCTCATGTTGGTCCCCTGAGCAAGGCTTTGGAACAGGGTACCCCAAACTCAGGATCTGATGAACATCGTTTCATGCTTTTCTCTCCTACTGTCTTGGACAAGCTGCTTCCTCTCTGGGCCTCAGTTCCTCATCCAGAAAATGGGGATAAAGATAACAGGGGTGTTGCAAGGATTCAGAAGATGCAGAATGTGTGCAAAGTGCCCATCAGGTGATTGGTGTTTGTGGCATTCTTAAGTCATCATCACCTAGGACTGTCCTCCGAAAACCTTAGAAAGCCTTCTCTTCTTTATTTGGAGACGTGGGGTGCTACACTGTGCGGCACCAGGGATTAAACCTGGGGCCCAGCACTGAAAGTACTGAATCCTAACCACTGGCCTGCCAGACAGTTCCTGAAAGCCTTCTCTTCTGACTCTCCCATTTTCCCACTCTCCTTTTGCCTGGCATCACCAAACTATGTTCATCCTCCTTTGAAATCCCTCAGTTCTGTGGCTTCAGCTTAGGATGGTCCTGATCACCTCCTCCTCCAGACACCTACAGCAGCCTCCAACTGCCTCCTTTTGGACTTTGAGGGGCCTATAAATGAAGCCCCTGTTTTACCTGCCCGGGCACTCAACCAGTTAAGAGCTAAGATAGAGAAGATCACAAAATCACCTTTATTTTTGCTGATAAAGGCTAGGTAGTTTTTGTCCTTGTTTGTATTTTGTTTTTCCATTTTGACTGCTCTGAGTCTTTGCTGCAGACCACAGGCTTCTTTCTCTAGTTGTGGCATGGTAGGCTTAGTTGCCCAGAGGCATGTAGGGTCTTAGTTCCCTGAGCTGCGATCAAACCCGTGTTCCCTGCACTGGAAGGCAGATTCTTTATCTCTGGACCAGCAGCGAAGTCCCAAGGCTAGGTTTAACATGAGGATTACGTATGTAGCAGTAGTGAGCTTCCTGATACCAACCTCCAGAATGAAGCAACTTTCCCACCACCCCAGGCGGTGCTGGCACATTGCCAGCCTCACCCCATGGGGGTGCCCTGTAATTCTTTCTTAGCGGGAGGGTCGGGGGAGGAGGAGGAGGAAGGAAGGGGCTAGTGCCCCACAGCCGAGTTCCTCAATCAAACACCTCGTCCGATAACTCACCCACCTTGTGGGCAGGAATGGGCAAGAGCCAGGAGCATTTGGAGAGAGTCCTCCTGGGAGAAGCCTGAGGGGTGGGGAGCCTGCGTGCCTCCCTCGCAGCTCCCCTTGCCCCAGGCCACCTGCTCCCTAGCTTAACCGGATGGCTCTCCTCCCTGGGCAGCCCTCCATCCCCCCGACCTGCAGCTTCAGAGTCTCCAGTGTGTGGCCCAGCCTGCCTTACCTGAGTTGAGCCAGCCCCGGCCGCCTTTTCCAGACTCAGGCCCCCATCCCTGCAGGACTGTCCACGTCACACTGGCCCTCGCCCCACCCCCACCCCCGCGCCTTCACAGTCATCATCCCTCGCCTTGGAGGCCCCAGGACGCCCTCCTGGGCTACCCAGCCTCAGTGCTGCCCCGTGGCCACACCTCCCCGAGGGTGTGTGGCATGTCCTTGTCATCTCCGGTTTCTAGTTCATTGTCAGCTTCGCCCAGAGAGAGAGGAAGTGGGGGTGCTCACACACCCACCCCACGGGCACTTCTGCACCTGCTTTTTATTCTGATTCTCACAACCACCCTAGAAAGTGAGTATGGTGATCCTCATTGTACAAAGTGCATTCTTAGTGTGACCACACTGAACACTGTGATTCATGATGATGAGAGATGATAAGGGTGCTAAGGTGTGTGGACAGAGGGAAGGGGCGCGAAGAGAGGACAGTCACTGAGGAGTCATCCCAGAGGACCTGGGGGGAGGGGTAGCAGTGAACCTTAAAGGCTGAGAAGGATTAGGGGTGATGGAGAGGGATGCGACCAGTGCTCCCCACAAGTGGAGTGCCGCGAACTCAGACGTGGAGGCTAGGCGGAGACTGACAAATTAGCTACAGGAAAGAGATGGGCACAGCTGGAAGGTGGGGCTTTTGAGAGCGACTGGTGGTAAAGAAAGGCCAGCTCCTAGACCTCACATTCCAGGCAGAGAAGTTCAGACTTGGTGCTCTTGAGATGCAGAGTGATTGAGAGGTGCAAATACAACTTTTGGAGGCCCAGAAGGAGGCTGCCTCCCTGCTGGAGAATCAGGGACGGCTTCTTGAAGGAGGTGGCATTTACAATGGACAGGAGAAGATGAGGATGGGATGGATGTTAACTACCGAGCAAGCAGCACGACCCAAGGTCCTGAGGGAGGGACCTACCTGGGGTAGAAACATGAGTCCACAAAGCCACTCATGTGGCTGAGTACAGGGTGCAGAAGAAGGCAGTGATTGGCCAGGTCACTTCTCTATTCATCAAACGTTCACTGAGTGCGGACCATGTGCCAGGCTGGCCCTCCAAAAACAATGGTGGTGATAACATTTATTAGGCACTCAGCATGTGCCAGGACTGCTCTAGATGCTTTTCATGTGTACTCACTCATTTAATAGTCGATGTTTGTTGAATGAATGCATGCATCACGCCAGCCCACAGCTGCCCTCAACCCTGTGTCCTCCTCCTACAGGAAATCCCCATGAATTTTGTGGATCCAAAAGAGTATGACATCCCTGGGCTGGTGCGGAAGAACCGATATAAAACCATCCTTCCCAGTGAGTACTGCCCCTCACCTGGGTGCCCTTAAACCCTGAGGCAGGGTTAAGAGACTAACTCCAGCATGGGCCTCCAGGGTCACCAGGCAAAGGGATGGAAGGTGGGGGTGCCCGGTGAAGGGAAACACCCCCTTTAAAGGGCAGAGGGCTCTTGGTTCCTTCATACAGCACTCTCCAGATCTTTGCTCTGGACAAGCATTGTGCTGGGCTCTGTGGAAAGTCAGAGAAAAAGAGGAACAATAACGGGCAGCTCCTAGACAGTGCATGGTGGCTGAAAATTGTGGTCACATCCCTGGTCTCTTCAGAGTGGACAGGTTTTAAAGAGAGGACATTAAGGCTCAGAGAGGTTAAGTGGCTCATCCACTATCACACAGCTAAGACGTACAGAACCAAGTTTGAAACTAGGCCTCTGTAACCTCAAAATTGTGCTCTTTTGTCCACCTGGAGTTCAGTTTGGCTAGATTATGAACCCTCTAACAGGCAGAGCCACCCCACAAGAGAGCGAGCTGCCCGTCAGGTAGGAAGCTCCCCATTGGCTAGGGTATTCAAGCTAGCATGCATGCGTGGTCCCCCTGGAAGGTTTGATAGGGACTTTCCCCCTTTGGGGGTAGTTAGACCAGGTAACCCGATATTCCTCGTTTAGCCTGGGATGTCATTTTCAGGTAACTTCCATCAGGCACCTGTCTGCCTGTCACCCCTGCCAAGTTCTGGCCCAAGGCCCTAGGGCTAGCTTGGGGGGTGACTTATCGAAAGCAAATCCCCACAAACCTACTCCACACAGTTTATGGAGTAAGGAGGCTTTAAAAAAGCAGTTTTGCCATCAGCATCTCCAAGAACATGTAAGATGTCATGACTTATTTTTAACTTTTAAAATATCGACTTGTGGTTGCTATGGTTACACAGTGTCTAGGTAGTTCCAGTTAAACAAAGCACCATTTAAGGCCAGGATTCAGGGCTGCTCACCTCTTCCCTCCTCTCGCTCCCCCCTCCACCCACCCAGCCCTACCTGGAGGCAGGGCTTCGGGCACCCCACAGTCTCAGGCTTTGCCGGCCACTCAGAATAGCCACTGGGGGAGTATGAGAGCCAGGCCATTACTCCATCTGGTCCCCACTGGATTCCTGAGAGGAATCCAGCCTCCAGCCATACCCTACGCCTGCAGCCCCCGAGCCCAACAGAGAACCTTCTCTGTAGCCAGCAAGAATTGACCCTGTGCCCTCAGAGACTGGGCTGGGGTGGGTGGTAGAGGTCCCTCTTGGATCAGGGACACCCCGAGGCTTGCTTTCTCATTCATTCGGAGGCTACTTCTGGATCCCAATCTGGGTGCCATGAGGGGAGGGAGGGGCCCGTGCAGGGCTGCCCGCTCCTGTCCCCTGGTCACACAGAGCCCCCGTCCGTTCACCCTCGCGCTTCCCCATACCTGACTCTCCTCCACGCCCCTCGCCGCGAGAGCTGCCTCACCCCCACCTTCCCCTCCACAAATCCCCTGCCCAAACCTCAGGCACTTGGGCCGGGGCACGAAAGGACTGGAGAGGGGAGGTTTGTGGGTATCCCTTTCCATTTCATATTCCAGGTTTGGGATCCTCCTTTTGACCTGTTAATTTATATATTGATTTCATTTATACTTGCAGTGATATCAGTAACAGCACCAACTCGCTCTACAGTGACTGTGTGCCGGCCTAAGTTATGGGTCTGAGGACTCATTATTATTTTTTTTTTTCATTTATTTTTATTAGTTGGAGGCTAATTACTTTACATCATTGCAGTGGGTTTTGTCATACATTGAAATGAATTAGCCATGGATTTACATGTATTCCCCATCCCGGTCCCCCCTCCCACCTCCCTCTCCACCCGATCCCTCTGGGTCTTCCCAGTGCACCAGGCCCGAGCACTTGTCTCATGCACCCAACCTGGGCTGGTGATCTGTTTCACCCTAGATAATATACGTGTTTCGATGCTGTTCTCTTGAAACATCCCACCCTCGCCTTCTCCCAGAGTCCTCAAGTCTGTTCTATACATCGGAGTCTCTTTATTAACGGCCACTCTTGAACCCTAACAGGATGAGTGAGGGTGTGACGGAAGGAATGTTCCCAGTTTACGGAGAAGGCACAGTACTCGTTGAATGGCCTGACTGACACCACGAGGACTTGAAGCCAGGCTCACTGGTGGGCGGTGTAGACTCCTGACCGCTTCTATGCTGCCTTTGAGAGCCATACGGGGCACGCTGGCAGGGCCTTGAGTCCAACCCTCCTTCCACAGGAAAGACCATGGGGGCCAGAGAGGGAGGAGATGTGAGCTGGTGACAAAGCTAGACAGAGCCCCAGAACCCAGGCCCCCAGGCCCCACTCCACTACCTCCTGGCTCAGTCCCAGCCTCTGCGAGTTTCCAGAACAGACTAAATCAGTACAGGGAGGCTCTAGCGGAACAGAACAAACCCTAGTCTAGGGGGCAGAGCACGACGTAGTGAGAATCTGCTGCTCTGGGTTTGACCGGTGGCTAGATTGGGGTGGGGGTGAACCCTTGTAGACTTGTGTGTTGTCTCATCTCAGGCACAGAAGACTTTACACCTTTCATTGTGATAGTCTGGCATCCTACCCAAATCTTAGCTATAAAGTGCTTTACAGTTGACGTAGCACTTCACATCTGTTTTCTCACATGTCTTCCCAACAATCCGAGGAACTAGGCATCCTTACCCCATATTACAGATCAGAAAACTGAGGTTTAAAAAGGCCATGTGCTTTACAAGCTTATACAGCAGGTTGGGGACAATGTATACTCAAACTCTTGGCCGGCCCTGCTGTCTAGGATGTATCCCATAGGGAATTTCTTACTGTCTGAGCTGTCTCCTCCCCAGACAATGGAGCACAGAGGGGACGGGGCAGCTTAAGGGATGCAGGCAAGGGTGGCCTGGACCCTACAGAGGGAGACAGCCAAGGCCTCCCTGTACCATTCTCTTCAGCCTGGGTCCTCACTTTCCTGAGTGGGCCACAGGAATGGGCAGTGTTTTGCTTCTGGCAAGGGAAGAAGGAACTTCCGGTCCCAGAAGAAATGTAGGTGCCCTGACAGGGGCCAGAGAAGGTGGGCCCACACAAGAGGGATTGCACATTCAAATCCCAGCCTCACCTGTCTCCACTACCTCAGACCCTCACAGCAGAGTGTGTCTGACCTCACCAGACCCTGACGACCCTCTGAGTTCCTACATCAACGCCAACTACATTCGGGTATGTAACCCCATCCCAACAGTCTCTCCCTAAAAGGGAGGCCCAAGTCAATGGGGTCCATCCACTAGGCTTGTCCCTAAGTCCGTCCGGTTCTTGCCAGCCCCCCGGGGAAGAGGCTGAGTTGGGGAGATGGGCCCCAGGAGCACAACAAGTGACCCTGATGACCTGGACTTGGCTGGTCACAGGGCTACGGTGGGGAAGAGAAGGTGTACATCGCTACTCAGGGACCCATCGTCAGCACGGTCGGCGACTTCTGGCGCATGGTGTGGCAGGAGCACACGCCCATCATCGTCATGATCACCAACATCGAGGAGATGAACGAGGTAGGCCCCGCTGGACCTTACCAGGTACCTGCTGTTTGGTGCCCTGCGCCAAGCATCTTGTTTCTGTGTTAATCCTTACAGCAATCTTGGGAGGTTGGTATGTTCACCTTGCTGCCTTGCCCAGGGAAGGAAATGTGAGGCTCAGCGAGGTTAAATCAGTTACTCAGAGCCACACAAATAGAGGCAGGGCCTGGAGCTGACCTATCCACCACCAGGGCTCAGGATCTTAAACACACTGTTCTGCTGCTGCCCAGCCTGCCAGGGCTGATGCTGGCTACTTCCATACTCATCACAGCCCATTTAATTGAACTCCCATGAAGGTCCTTCAAATTGAGTATTACTTCCATTTTCCCAGATGAGGAAACTGAGACTCAGAAAAGGGAAGTAACTTAACAAGTTACAAAGCTGAGATTTGAGCTCTCTAACTGCAAACCTACTGCCCTGTTATCTGTCTCCCCACTGGCCCGGGACAGGCACTGGGGAGGGTGTGGTTGGGGCACTGGGAGTATCTCAGCCTGATCTGGGCCCCTGCAGAAGTGCACCGAGTATTGGCCGGAGGAGCAGGTGGTATACGATGGCGTGGAGATCACCGTGCGGAAAGTCATCCACACTGAGGATTACCGGCTCCGACTCATTGCCCTCAGGGTGAGGCCTGGGGCAGGGCTGGACTGGGCTGGGAGGAGGGTCACTCCACAGCCAACAAGGTCCCAGAGACCAAAATAGCTGAAATTAAGGCATGTGTCACTCCAGGCTTTACTGATGAGCAGGGGTGAGGAGAAAAGGGGTGAGTGATCTTGCAGATCAGAGGCAGGACCAAATTCTCAGTACATTTCATATCGCTGGCATCTGTCCATCCACACTGTCATTCGCAATGTCTTACAGCTCTGCTTCAGATGTACCCAAGGCCAGGACTGTCTGGAAGAGGGGGCTTCAGCAGCTTGCATATTCCACCCGGAAACATCCCTTCACCTGGGATGCTGGGCTTCCAACCTGTAGTACCGAATCTTTCCACTAGAGGGCAGGCGCTTTTTGCTGCATTTGGGTAGCACAGGGAGGTTGTGGTTACAGGAAAAAGAGAAGAGGACATAAAAATTATGAGCAGTACAGAACAGCCCAGAAGAGTGTGGGGAGGTATCCTCCCACCCTGAAGACTGTGCTTCCTCCAGGCTCAGCATAATAGAGGAGGTTGTTCTTTTGGAGTGAAGAAAATCAGTGCATTCTGCTTTTGAGAAATCTTATGACCACTGTTTGGGGAAAGGGGTACCACTGTAATTATCCCAAGGTCTGGAAGAGGTGACCTAGGTGCCAGGAAGCTGACATCCTATCCAGAAACAGTCAGGGAGGTCCACTGATGCTGGCAGCCACAGGGTCTGGATAGGGTGTCAAGGGCATGAGACTTCTTCCTCTGAGCTGCCCCCTCCCACTGGAGAAGGTGAAAGACGGCATGTCAAGAAGTCAGCCCCTCAAGGGCAGTGCCCAGTAAGCACTTCCAGGATACAGGCTTGCTTGAGGGCATTTCAGAGGTGGAGGACAGAGGCTATGGTAGCTATAACAGCCAGGTAGCCCATAGAGCAGCTTCCTTTTTCCCCTGAAAGAGAGGCTGGGGCTGCCACATCATCTCAGTGCGGTGGGGCTGGTCAGGGAAGAACTGGGACCACTGGGCATTTACTTTTGTCCGTAACCTTTACAAGCACCTGCCCTGAGCCTGGTTCTGGGTTGGGTACTGGGAAAACAGAGAGCTGTCCAAAGCCTGGACTCTCTTCTCAAGGAGCACCTGTAAAATGGTAAGTACTGACCTAGAAAATAGTAAAAGCACAGAAGGACATGTCGGCAGCTAGGGTGCTCAGGGAGGGCTTCCTGGAAGTGGTGGTGCCGATTGGGGTTCCGAAGGATAAGAGTTGGTCGGGGGGCAGACATGTGGAGAGAGCATTCCAGACAAAGGGAAACTAAAAGTAAGGGCACAGAAGATAGAACAGCTCTGTGAATAAATGTACAGGAGATGGGGAAGCAGCGGTTTGATCTGCAAACCAGTTGGGATGCAAAAGCATCAAGTACAAGTTTGCAGGAGGAGGACTTGGGCCTGGGGAGGTGGACCCTGTACCATGTGTCTTATTTGCCCGACTGAAGAGTGGGGAGGGTGGGTTTTTAGCTTTAGAGCAACAAGAGATATCAAAGCGTTCTGAGCAGTAGAACGGCATGGGCTGTAGACAGACCATTGGGACCACTGTGGATCTGGGTGATCAGAGAAGAGGAGGGGAGGGCCCCACACAGCCAAGAGATGGCGAAGAACAAAGTGAAGGTGGCTGTGGTGGAGAGGATAGCACTGGGACACTGGTTGGGGGGGGCCAGGGGTGGTGGTGGGCAGGAAAGTATACTGAGGCAAGAGGAAGTGTCTTGCCTGTTGTGGGGGTGACTGGGCTGTCTGGGAAGGGGCAACCAGGAGACAGCAGTGAAATGGAGAAGGGGTTCTTCACCTCTCTCGGAAGATCCTGGAGTCAACAGGGCAGAACCCATGTGAAGACCAGTGCTGACGCTGCCCACAGTGCCTGCTACCCAGCTGGCTTCGGGTCTCTGACCGGTGCCCCTGGGCTGTACGGTGTAGATGGCAGAGGTCCGAGGTCCCACTCCCTGTGGCCTCCCTCTGTTTCCTCCTCCCCTGCCATCTCCATCTCTGGGCTGGTTTCTGGGCTCGGAGCGTTCACGTGTATCTGGGCGGGCCTCTGTCTCCTGGACAGAGCGGGACGGAAGAGCGAGGCCTGAAGCATTACTGGTTCACGTCCTGGCCCGACCAGAAGACCCCAGACCGCGCGCCCCCACTCCTGCACCTGGTGCGGGAGGTGGAGGAGGCGGCCCAGCAGGAGGGGCCCCGCTGCGCCCCCATCGTGGTGCACTGCAGGTGGGTCCTCCCAGACACCCACTGGGGCAGGGCGGGGCGTGGCTCCCGGGCGGCCCCGCCCCTCACCCCGTTGCCCTGGGCCCTCAGCGCAGGGATTGGGAGGACCGGCTGCTTCATCGCCACCAGCATCTGCTGCCAGCAGCTGCGGCACGAGGGCGTGGTGGACATCCTGAAGACCACGTGCCAGCTCCGTCAGGACAGGTCAGCTGAGGGTGGGGCTCATGGGGACCCGGGGCGGGGGAGGGGGTAGCAGAGAGAGACTGACCTGTGCATAGGGTGTAGGTTAGGGGGACACACCCCACGGGGACCGACCTGTGGATAGATGGGCGGAGAAGCCGGATCCAGGCAGTTGGTGGCTGGGATGCAAAGGGAAGAGGAACAGAGTGGTCAGAGGAGCAGAGGCTGAGTGGAGGGTCATGTCGCCTCTGTCTCCGCTGTCTATGCCAGAGCTGGGAGGGCCAGGAAGGGCAGGTGGAAGTGGCAGGCTGGCCAGGGCTGACCTCTGTAAGCTGTACAGAGGCCCTGATGTGCGTCCCGGGGGACTGGCACTCTGTGGGACTGGGGGCGGCTCCGCAGCCATTCTTCCACGACCCCGTCCCTCCATCTGCCGGGCAGGGGCGGTATGATCCAGACGTGCGAGCAGTACCAGTTCGTGCACCACGTCATGAGCCTCTACGAGAAGCAGCTGTCCCGCCAGCCTCCGGAGTGACCACGTGCCTCCCCGAGGTCCTCTGGTACCTCCCAGCCTGAGTCGGGGCCCTCCTCGCAGCCACACCCAGGACCCTGCCTCAGGTCCCGGCCTGCTCCCCGTCCCTCCCGCTTCCTTCTCTTCAGTTTGCTCCCCCTCCCCCGCTGCCTCGGCCGGACCCCTGCCCCCCCCCCCCAACATAGCTCTTCCTACTGTACATACTGGGGAGTGGGGAGGGTGGGGGAGGGGTGTGCCAGGCCAGGCCTGGGGCCCCAGGGCCTGACCCAAACCGCGTGACCTGGGGCCTCAGTTTTTAACGATGGTTCCACTGCTACTTGATCCAAAACGTTTCCCTGCTGCAACTCCACGTGTCCTGCCGCAGCGTGTTCTGTCTATCCATCGTCTCTGCTGTCTGTACCGAACACTGTGTCTCCTCAGCCCGGGAGAGGGGTCGTGAGCTCCAGCCCCCCAGTGGCCCTGGCACAGGTGCCTGCCTCAGGCCCCCAGCCCTGCTTCTCCCAGCAGACAGGTTGCACTTTGCCCCTAGTTCCTGGAACCAGGATGGGAAGGAAGGAAGGGCCTGAAGACCCCAGAAGTCAGGCACAGTTAGTCCTGAGGGGTTGGCAGTAAGATCGCAGCTGCGGAGAGGTCTCTGGATGGGGGTGGGAGAGGAGGATCGCATCCAGGGGGATCCCCAGGTATCAGACGCCCTCCGCAGGCAGTGACTAGCCTGTGGGGCAATGGTGAGAAAGGGGACACATAGGGGAGAATGAACCCAGGGGACCTGGGCCACGGCGGGAGACGGAGAACTCCGAGGGTAGGGTGGGAACTCGGCCCCATATCCGTGTGAAGCATTTTTCTGTGTCGCTGTGGGAAACCCCTCCCAGAAGTCTCGCCGCGTGTAGCTCTGCGTGTGTCCCGTGTTCATGCGTGTGTTGAGAGCCCCAGCAGGGCGTGCATGACTCTTTGGCAACATGTGTTATCTTGGAGCCACGTGTTTTTATTGGTGACTTTAAATATTTATTCCACGGCAGACAGAGACATTTGGTGTCTTTTTATAATTTGCTCATGGTCATTGAATAGAGCAATAAATGGAGCATTTTGAGCAAAACCAGCCTCCTGGGTCTGTGTGATTGCCCCTCCCCTCCACTCCCTGCCTCCTTGTACCCCCATCTTCCTGCCCCTCCTACTACTACAGATCTGCGCGCGCGCACGCACCACCCCCCAACACCCACCCCCTCCACCCAGGCCCTTGAGATCCCTAGTGCCCCCTTGTGGAGGTTGGGAGATGGCGTGAATCCAGATTTGAAATTCCTAAGTCCACTCACTGAGCAGAATTCTCACACACCGGCGCCCTCGCACCCAGCCAGGAGACAGGGGCCCTGCGGAGCCACAGGGACAGATGTTGGAGGCTTTCATAGAAGGAAAAGTGGCTGGCAGGCCACCAACATCGACAGAGGGGCCAGAGATGCCAAGGCCAGAGGAGGGGGACCTTCAGACTACACAGGCCCCTCCCTGTTGGCCAGCCCACTTATTTGCCCTGCAGGTCCCAACAGCAGCTGCAGCCTGGCAATTTGCCTTGTAAGGCCTGGGCTGAGAGTAGTCGCGCCCAAGGAACCTGGAGAATCTGCCCCTAGACCAAGATCCTGTGCCTTCCAGACACTCCCCCTCTATTCTTACCCCAGCCCCCAGGGATGCAGCAAATGTAGCTGTCCTGTCCTTGCTGACAGGTGTGGGTCACCCCAGGGCAAGAGGGAGTCCCGGGCAGGACTGTTGGCCAGCCAGCAGGTCCTTACAAGGTCACAGAGCCTTGAGTGGGCTAGTCTAGGGTCTGGGCTGCAGATTTACTGCAGACAATGAGGAAAGAACAGGGGTGTGGCTTAGACGGAGGTCCCAGAGAAGGGGGCCTGCTCTCCAGCAAGAGGATGGGCCCTCCTACCCCTCCGCCCAGATCAGGGGGTTGAGCAGCAAGAGTAGGATGGGGAGGAAGAGCTGACATTTCCCCTTCTCTCCCAGGGGCGGCCCCGTGAGGCCACTCAGGTTGTGCAGGCACCAAGGGCAGAGCACGGCATGAACGGTGCTCCCTGGACTCTTCCCTAGTCACTCACTCTTGGTCTCTGGAAAACACAGACCTGTTGCTTTGCTCCCCAAGCCCTATTGGGTGCACACACTTCCCTGAGCCCCTCAGCTCAGAGAGGTCCTGCCCAGCAGCGTGAGAACACAAACCTCTGCACAAAGGAACAGAAGAAGTACCCCAAGACCACCATGCTCGGCCACCTGCCTGCCCAGACCCCTGCACCTCCTCCAGCCCTGACCCCAGCTACCCCCCAAAGCAGTGTGCCAGCTGGCTGGGGCAGCTGCGGAGCCTGAGTAAGGGATCGCCCCCAGGGGGCCAGACATTAAAGGAACCAGTGATTCCTGCCAGCCACATTGCTGGGACAAAAGAAGGTCAGTCTACAGCCCAGGCACCAGCTGGGTCTCCAAAGCCGGAGGGTGGACACAGCCTTCAGGGTTAGAAGGGACTCTTGATGCGAAGGTAAGGCTTCCTTCTTCCCTGAGGAAAGGGGCTCTGCCTTCTGAGCCCTGAAGGGGACAGCAGAAGCTGGAGCTGGGGAGATGTCTCCGAACCTGGAGGGACCAGGTAGAGAGACGTCATCAGATGAAGGGGCGAAGTTTAGCCCCAAACCTTCTGGCCTGGAAGAAGGCTTTGAGGTCCTCGAGAAGGGCACTGGACTGGGAGTCAAGGGGCCAGGATTCTAGTCCAAGTGATCTTGGACAGGTTATTTCTCAGATGTCAGTTTCTCATATACAGAAAATTGGGGTTTAAAAACTGCCACTCTGTGGCGAAGGAAATGGCAACCCATTCCAGTATTCTTGTGGAGAATCCCATGGACAGAGGAGCCTAATGGGCTGTAGTCCATGGGGTCACAAAGAGTTGGACATTTCTGAACGACTGACACTATCTTGTAACTAAAGATTCCCACATTCCACGACAAAAATCAAAGATACCATGTGCTTCAACTGAGACCCAGCACAGCCAAATAAATAAAATAAATATTAAAACTGCCACTCTGGTTAAATAAAAGATGGTATGTACATCTATTCGATGGGATTCTATGTTGGTGTTAACAAGACTGGGAAAACTTCATAAACAGGGATGGAAAGACCTCCAAGATGTACAAAGTAAAAAGAGGGCTGAATGGCTTGTATAATACGCTATCTTATGTGTAAACAAACAGGGAATGAAGACAAAAACATATTCAAATTTGCATGAAAGAGCTCCAGAAGGAGCATAAAGACCACAAGTGGTTACCTGTTGTGGAGGGCTGGGAGATGGAGGGCCTTGGGAGAAGGAGGGAGCCTCTTTACATAGATGTTTCTATTGTTTTGTTTTTTAACCATGTGATTGAATTACCAATTCAAAAATTACAAGAAATAAAGACTCAACCTCTGTCTTTATCATATTGGAAAGGAAAGCAGAGCTGTAGGGATGTGCTGTCATTTGTCTCAGCATTCCCCCAATGCCAGGGCTCCCCAGGGCCCAGCGAGAAGATCCAGTTTCCTTTCAAGGCCAGCTCCAGTATGGCTTAGTCAGGAAGTTCCTTCTCAGGTCTGACTTCATTCCCTCCTGATAAAGCATCCAGCACCGCCCCACCCTGTCAGTTCCATGTAGCTATCAAAAGGTATCCTTAGCTCCCTCTGGGCCTTGCTGGGTTCACTGGGTGAGTCTAAACCCTATCTCCTCCCCCTCCAAGGATCTGGAATGGTTTGGGGTTACTCAGTGAGAGACAGGCCCATTGGTCCTTGGAACCAACCAGGGAGATACCAAGGGAAGAGAAGAGAGGCCGGAGGGAAGAGGCTTGCCACCCAGCCTCTCCTCACCCTCCCTGTAAACAGCCATCTCTCTCTGTGTTCACCTGTTCTGTCCCTTCCCCTATCCCCCAACATCAACATCACACAACATCTCTGAGCCTCCCTCCCACTCCCTTCCTTGTCCTTCACGGCCTCATCCCCTCTCTGGTCCTCCCAGGTGAGTGCCCACGCCTTGTCACCATGACGACCATTCACCACAAGCAGATGCTTCAGGAGCACGTGTCCATGGAGTTCTCCAGCTCTACCACCCACGTGCAGACCTTCTCCTAGACAACCAAGATCGTGGGAGGCAAATAGAGTGGGATGGCTGGTAAGGGGGTGGAATTAGGTAGAGGCAGCCTTTCTTCCTCCCATCTTTGTGACCAGTGGGCCCCTCAGAAGCCCGAGATACCACCAACAACTCTCCCAACCTGTGCTTCTAATCTATGATTTGATAAAGCTAAGCCTGCCAGATGCTTGTCCACAAATGCTATCTCCAGGAAAACAGCTTAGGAAAAATCAATCACGTGGATATGTGTTAGTGATTGAACTCTTAATTGCTGGAGATCAAAGCCATAGGCAAATGCACAAATTTCTGATGGTAGAATTTAAGGCATCAAATTTCTGATGGTAGAATTTAAGGCATGGAGGAAGTTAGCGAGGTAGCTGCCTTATCAACTTAAGAATAATGCTGGCCTTGCTCCACTTAAGAGAAGCCTTGGTGCTGCCAGAGGAGAGAGGATGAATACATAAACAAGTGACTTGAGCTTCCAGGTGTTCAGACTTGGGGACCAGACGTAAGGGAGGGCAGATCCAAGGGAAAGCTGAGAAATGATCTCAGAAAACAACAGATTGTTTTAGCCATGTCTCTAGAGGAAGGTGATTCAAAGATGGCCAGGGACCAGGATATCGAATACCTGTCCTCCCAGTCATCCCTCCTTCAGTCAGTCCTCTGTGCACAGAGGTCAAGGCCAGATAAGCGGTAACTCCCCCGAGCCAAGTGAGACATACCAAGTAGAACAGCCAGGACTCAAGACCAGAAGCTGCAAACTCAAGTGACTGTAATTTGTGATTCTCAGCCCTGACGGCACTCCAGAACCACCTTAGGGTACAGGTGGGAGGAGAGGGGAGTTAAAAAAAAACAGTGACATGTGAGTCTCACCTCAGACGGTTAAATCTGGTAGTGTTTTTAAGATCTCCAGGGACCCTGATTTGCAGCCAGACTTGCAAACCACTGGCAGATAGCATCCAGCAGGGAACATGAATGCAAAAGACAGTCTGAGGTGAACTGTCCAGAATGTAGCCCATCGAAAGGGACAGTCACTCTTCACCTCCCACTGCCTGTTGCCATGTGGGAATATGCATCCAGTGTTAAGGATCCAGAAATTAGAATTTTTATGTGAAATCTCTCAATTTTTAGATGTAGGGCTCCTTTTTGTTTAAACATTAAAGGAAAGTGAAGTTGCTCAGTCGTGTCCAACTCTTGCGACCCTGGGGACTGTAGCCTACCAGGCTCCTCCATCCATGGGATTCTCCAGGCAAGAATACTGGAGTGGGTTGCCATTTCCTTCTCCAGGGGATCTTCCCGACCCACAGATCGAACCCGGGTCTCCCACATTGCAGGCAGACACTTTATCCTCTGAGCCACCAGGGAAGCCTGTTTAAACATTGGAAAGGTCAAATAAAAACCATCAGTAAACCAGCTGCAGCCTGTAGACCTCTGGTCACTATTTAATGCTACTGGGGGACCAGAACTTCCAGGAGAGGAACCCAAAGAGACCCATAAAATCTAAAAAAGAAATCTCCTTCTAAAAAAAGCCGGGGGGTGGGGGGGCCGGCGGGCAGAGGGGGAAGTAGAACACAAGACCTTGACCCAGTAAAGATTGTAAAGATTGACCATTGAAGGATGAATGAGGTTTTGGCTCCCCTAGGGGTTTTCATTTGCCATAACACAATGACCCACCGACTCTCAAGTCCTCGTTTCTTGGCCAAAGCATTTCCAGTTCTCACAGACCTAAAGTGCTCCACTGTCCCCTCAAGAAAAGGTCCCAGGCTAAGCTCTGCCTGGAGCCCATTCTGACCTCTCTCGCCTGTCAGCACAGAGGAAGTGGTGAGGAGGAATTTCTCCAGCTCCACAGAGTTCTTCAGCTTCAAACATCTCTGCTGGCGAGAACGTCCCGGAGTTGGTGGAAAAGCCTCAGCTGGTCGCCTCACCCGAGTGTGCGTCCCTCCCCGAGTTCCCCCAAGGCCCCGGGAGCTTCCCTTTCTGTCCCAGTGCCCCAGCCCCTCACTGCTGCTGCCACCCCCGCCGCTGTCCCCCCAATACACAACCACTGGCGGAGACAGGCCAAGGGTCTCTCCCCAGCCCAGAGCTGAGAGCAGTAGAGGTGCAGCTTCCAGGCTAAGAGGCAAAAATAGGTGCCCACTGCAGGGGATGAAGCCATGTTCTGAGTCAAGGCACGGGGGAACCCCAAACCCAGCATCTCCTGAGAGAGAGAGAACGGCATGCCCATCAAGGGGTCTGCCAAGATCTTCTACGACAGTGTGAACAAGGAGCACGTGTTGAAGGTGCCAGGGCCAGTGACCCCTAAGGCAGGAGGCAGAGACCCTGGGAGGGGCACCAGGTCCTCTCACAGCCAAGAGATCCACAACAGAGACCCAAGAGCTGCGAGATGAGAAAAGGGGCTCTCAATGCCCTAGAGGAGAGGCAGAATAAGAGAGGCTGAGTCAGGAGCTAAGGCATCCTTGCCAGAGTGAGCAAGGGGCCAAAATTAGGGGCGGGGCAAGGCAGAGCTAGGGCAATGCCAGAACAAGGAGGGGGCAGGACCAGATGGAAAAGAAAGAGGTTCCAGCCGGTGAATGAGCACCAAAGGAACGTGAGACCAAAGCTATGCGCGTGGCTAGAAGGGAATGAGACCATGGTGGGTGGAACCAGGCTGAGGTGGGGTGGGATCTGCACGAAGGGAAGGGCTAGTCATAGAGTGCAGGTGAGGGTGAGGATTCCTGGGTTCTTCGGGGGAACATTCCAGAAGAGCAGTGCCAAGGGCTGATCATCCTAAGGTCTAAGCATGTTCTGCAGCCTCTGGGTCCAGACCCTTTGAGAAAAGGGTGGAATGGATCCCTGGGGGACCTAGGCCTATAATTCTGTTCCTGGATCTGCCCTGACTTCCCACTGTGAAAGGGACAGAGCTTCCCTTCTCCCCACCCATGCCAGTTGCTTCCTTCCTCTCCCAAAGACCCATCATTGGACCTTAGCACCACCCACAGCATACACAAGCTGCCCCAGAGCCCGCTCCTGGCCAGCCACTCCTTACACAAGCTCATTCAGTCAGCAACCCCTTTCAGGAAACCCACTGGTACCTAAGCACCTTTCTACAGGTGCCAAGGCAGCCTTGTTCACCCCTATTTCCTCAGGGCTCAACCCAATACCTGACACAGAGGAGTAAGTCTGTGTTAAATAAAGGAGCACTCAGCCCAGTGCCAGAAACTGTGCCAGAAACTGCAGATAAAGTTGCAACTCAGAGGAAGTCCTTGTCTTCCTGGAGCTCACAGCCAAGTGGGAGAATCCAATGTGGAATCAGGCTTCACATAGACACACTCACACTGACTGCTCCCTGGTACCTTCCAGTCATAGAGACAGCTCAGTCCTCCACACGTACATCCAGCACTCAGCTCCTCCCCCTCCCCCCAAAACACCCTGTCTCCCTGTGGTTCCCTCCCCCACCCCCTACTAATGGCCTGACTCTGATCCAGCTAGAGTCACTGACCTCGGACGACTCTGACAACTACAAGTACATTGCAAGCAATGACCATGCAGACGCCATCTACACCGTATCCTTGCTGGTAACTGAAGGTGAGCCAGTCCAATCCTCCTGGCCTTTCCTCTTGTGGACCAGACTCCCCCTGTCTGACCCCATCTCTTTCTCTGTTCTCAGCTCAAGAAAAATTGGATTTCAAAAAGATGTTGAAGAAGAGGTGAGACTGGGAGGCTCTCTTTCCAGGGTGTGGTCCCCCCACCCTCCAGACTGGAGCTTCTGGAAGGCTTTTCAACAGGGCCCTGCGTTAATGGCCCAGGCTCTAAGAATCCATAGAGTAGGAAGGGGCATCTCAAGGTTGGGAGAGCCTCTCTCTGTCTTCAGAGAAAGGCACAAAAGCCAGGCTTGGCACCCACTTCCTTCCTTCCAGTGGACCCCCTGCTTCCAAGAAGAGGCAGAAGAAGGTGACAGATGAGAAAGAGATGCTGAAGATTTTTTTCCAAGGTGCCCAAGAAGGACTTTGAGAAGGTCTGCATGGAGTATGGTTTCACTGACTTCTGGGGGCTGCTGAAGAAGCTCAAAGGGATGAAGAAAGTGGATGTGGAGGTCAGTCGCCATCAGGGAGAATGGGGGCTGCAGGCCAGGGGCTGGGCCTTACCAAAAGTGCTAGTGCCTTTGGTACTCCTGGTGGCAAGCTCTCCCCACCCTGCCCATGCCTAGTCAAGGGCATTCTCTACTGACAGGGCAGTGAGGAACTCAGGTCGCCTTCCTTCCACCTCTTTTCTCTTGACTGCTCCCTAATATATTTGCATCGACTTTGGAATCTGACAGACCTAGGTTCCAAGTCCAGTTCTACTGCCTTATTAACTGAGTGAACTTGGGGGTCTCTCCAAATCTGTTTCTTCACCTGCAAAATGAAAATTACTTTTGCCCTTTTCATTTGTTTTTATTTGTTCTCACTCATTCATTCAATCAACTTGTCATTGTGAAACATCTGCACCAGAATTAGAGGACCTATATACAATGGGACCTCTGTACTCAGTAACTGTTCCGTGAATGGTGTTCCTTTTTCTTCCCTTATCATGTCTATCTCCCCCTCTATCTTCAAGTTGTTCCATGTGGAGGGAGGGGAATGCAGCTATCTAATTAATCAGCCTAGTCATTTGTCCCCGGAAGCTCAGAGGGCTTCTCCAGGACTGGGGACACAGACTGGGCACATTCTAGATGCCTCTGACACCTGCCTTTTTGATATCACACTCCCTCAGGCCATCTGAATTCTGAAACCCCTGGAAGACATAACAGCCAAGGTGGACACCACGGTGGTCTCTGACTGCATCATGGAGCCGAAGGACCCCAATGTCAAAATGCTGTGGGTCAAGGTGGGGAGAGCACCTAAGGAGGGATATGATTGGAATATCATTTTTTTCTCTTCACCCCTTTCCTTCCAAGACCCTCTCATTACCCATAAGCCCTGTCCTCTTTTGCATCCCATCAAAAGGATGCCATCTGACATGGCTGAAGTGGGCTGGGAGCTGGGCTTTACTTTCAGGTGTTCCACCTGTTTGCGTTTGATTTGAGACAATTACTCTCCTTTCTCTGTGCCTCACCCTACGCATCTGAAAAGGCTGAATTAGATAGTCCTGAAGATTACTGATGATCTAGACCTCTAAGAGAAAGCACCTAGTGAACTCAGGCATATTAAGAGTTCAGGCTTTAGGGGAGGCAGGAACCCTGGATCCCATCAAGCCAGATAATGAGGCTAGAAAGATGTTAGGGGCCTCTGACTGTGTTTGAGAATCTTAGAAAGGTAGATATGGCTCCTTTCAGCTCAGCCTGGCCTTATGGAATAGAATAGAAATCTCTTAAATCCATTCATCAGTTTTTCTACCTAGTCCATGAGGCAGGATAATGAGCCGCTGAGGATCCGGTACTTCCTGGGGAAATATGATGTGAAGCAGATGGGCACCGTGGACATGCTGTCCATTACCAACGTGAACATGAGTGATGCAGGCACTCACAGCTTGGCCGTGGGCAACAGGCGGATGAATGCAGAGCTCATGGTGCCGGGTATGAGTGTGGGCACCAGAGGCCACAAGGAGGACATGGTCAGGGTCAGGGCAAAGGAATAACCCAGTACGGTGTCCATGGAGACATGGGAGGAAGGACTGTGGGGCCCTGCACAGATTGCGTGGGGTTGGGGGTTAACAGAGGAGAGAAGCATGGGAATATGGAGAGGACTATGAGATAAAGTGCCGTGGGGCAATGTAGCACAGGAGTACAGCCTCTGGAGGTGAACTACTGGAGTCCAAATCCCACCTTCTGTCACTTACGAGCTGTGTATTTGGGGCAAGTGATTCAACTTCTCTTTGCCTCAGTTTTCCCATCTGTAGAATGGGAAATAATAGTAGAATCTTCCTGTGTGAACAGTAGAATCTTCCTGCCTTAATAGTGCCTGGCATGTATCTAAAGTCACATAGATACATATTCTTTCTAAAAGTACTGTTAATGTTATTGGGAAGGAGACCATGTGAACATCATGGAAGGGGACTCCAAGATTCACAAGCAGAACAAAAGGAAGTATGTTTTCCCCAGCTGTGGGCTACAAGAGGCTAATGATACCTGAGTCTTTATGCCCCCCTTCACCATCCTACCCCTCAGGAGGGACCAGGGATGCAGCCCAAGGACTGCCCTTCCTATTCTTTGCTGCAGATGAGCCTCTGGTAAAGATGAAGCCGGTGCCAGACAGCTGTGTTTGAGATCTGCCTCTCTAAGAAAGTGCCCGACTTTGTGTGGAAGTTCAATGGAAAGGAGCTGAAGAGGGATGAAAAGTATGAAATCACAGTGTCTTAGGATGGTCTGACCCACACACTTAAGATTCAGGATGCCAGACTCAGTGATGGTGACAAGTTCTCTGCCAAGGCAGGAGATCTGCTTCAGAAGACCCAGCCCACTACTGACCATCAGGGTTTGGGCCAGAGCTTGAGTGGTGGACTTAATGCCACAGCAGCCTCCATGTGGGCATCCATCCCTCCATCCATCCATCCATCTATCCATCCATCCATGTATCTATCCATTGCCTCCTTGCAAGGTCCTTTGATGGATACTAGAAAAATAGAGAGTTCTCCTCTCTGCTAACTCCTAGTCTGGTGGGAGATGTAGGTGTGGAAATGAATTAGAAAAAAAGTTCTTAAGCAAGGAATTAAGACACACTAAGATCTTACTATCAGCCAGGAGATCATGAGCCAAGAAATTAGCTTTTATGGCTTTAGTGTCATATATTACAGCACTTATCATACATTACATCTTGACTACATACATTCTTATAGCTAGTTTGGAGAGTTACACATAATGGTAGGTCACACATGTGAACCACTCTTGACACATGTGACATGGAATAATCATTGCTGTGATGGGGGGAGACACAGAGGCTGTGGGAACCCAGAGAAGAGGTACCACCTTGCAAGGTCAGAAAAGATGTGATAAGATGATGGCAAAGCTTTACCAAGAAAAACAAAAAGGCATTCTATTTTCAGAGAAGGGGCAAGAGAAGAGAACATTCTCAGCAGAAGGAACAGCAGTGTAAAGGTCCAGACACCAGAGAGACAATGCAGTTATGGTGGAGAGCCAAGGGGGCATTAGAGACATTGACTGCAGTGCTGTGAGGAGGTAAAAGCTGTTGCCCTGTTTTGCATATGAGCAAACAAACAGATTTAGGAAGTGAATACACTGCATAGAGTCAGCTAGCAAGTGAGGAGCAGATCTGGGAATCTCCCTGTCGGGTACTTCTGTGAGTTGGGTACACACTTCATGTCACAGGGCCCTGTAGTTTCTGGGGTCAAAAAGAGGACCACGGCAGCATCTAACTGCCAGAAAGGGTTGTAGGAGGTCGGAAGCAGAAGCAACCATTTGTTTGTCTGTCCATAGGCATCTCTATAAAATTTGTGAGCACCCTCAAGAATGTGCATGTGAAAGAGAGGAGCCGTGCCTGCCTTGAGTGTAAGCTGACATCCAAGGATGTGACCTTGTACTGGAAGAAGGATGGGCAGCTGCTGGCGCAAAGCTCCAAGTACAGCATGAACCATGAGGGCAAGTGAGCAGAGCTGTTCCTTGAGGATGCACAGCTCACTGACGGTGGCAAGTACACTGTGGTAGCCATGCAGGATGGAACGTCACTGAATACTACAGCACTGCTATGGTCACCATGGAAGGTAAACACCCACCCCGTCAGTCCCCATTGAGTGACCCTCCGCTTTTCCTACTGGTGAACACCAGTCCCCCATGACATCAACCCTCCTCCAGGTCTTGATCTATTTCTACCTCCCCACTCTAACCACCTCCATATCCCAAACTCTGACTGTTTCTACCTTGTAGACCCTGATTGTCCTTCATCTTTAGAACTCTATCTGAAATCCCTTGACTTTGTCCATCCTTTACTTCGAGACTCTGACCACCCCCAGAAAATCTGATCATCCTATACCCCTTGACCCTGACCAGGCCCTACTCACTATCCCTGGCCATTTCTCACTGACCCTGGCCACCCTCTACTCCTAATAAACCCTGGGCATCCCACCGACCAGCATAATCACAGCTCTGCATCCCAGATGCAGACCATCTGCATCCCACCATCTAGTCTTCTTCACCTGAGCAGCCTGAGCTCCCACTGACCATATGCTCTAATGATCAGCCCCCCATTAGCCATCTCCCAGAATTCCTGGTTACCATTTCCCAATGCCACTGACTTTCCCCCAAACCCCACCTACCATTTCCCAATGCCACTGACTTTCCCCCAAACCCCACCTACCGGCCCTAATCCCCTCACTGACCCCTTACCCACGTGCCCATTTTTAAACATCCTGCTCATCATAAATGACTTTGATAGACGCCACCAGCCTTTTTCCCGTAACCTAAGTCCCTTCCACCACATAGCCTAACCCAGTCCCGCCCAGTTCTCGCCAGAGCGCCTGGCCACTGTCAAGAGCGCAATATCCAACGTGAACGCGGCCACCGGGAGCCCAGCTGAACTGTTCCTAGTGCGATGAGAAGGTGGAGGGCTTGCGACTGGAGGATAGCAAAGAGGTCCAAGGCAGGAGCCAGGGACGGGAGTGAAGAACGAAGGGACCGACCAGGCAGACATTCGCACCCAAGACTAGCCCTCGCCCCTGCAGATCCTGGCGTGCGGGTCCTGAAGCAGGGTGCGGTACACAAGTTCAGCTTCCTCAGTATGGGGCCCGACCTCGAGGGCAAATACACCTCCAGGGCCAAGGGTGCAAAGAGGGAAGCCTCGGTGTTTATCGCAGGTAAGGTCGCTGCCCGCTGTAGATAAAGCGAGACCACGCCTGGCCCGCCCACCTACCCCTAGCCCCTCCGTCACCCCGTGACCCCGCCCCCATCCCCGTGGGCTCCTCCCCCACCCCTGCTGGGCGTGCCTTCCTGCCGCCCCGCCTTGCAGATCCGCCAAAAGTCTATGGTCCGTCCTGGAGCCACTGGCTGCGCACACGGTGACCGTGAGGGTGGGGCACACCGCGAACATCAAGGTGCCCTTCCGGGAAAAGCCGATGCCCAGAGAGACGTGGTACATGGAAGGCAGGGAAATGACAGAAGAGGAACCACGTCCGTGCAGTGTGGCGACGACCAGGCGCTGCTCGCCATTTCAAAGTGCGTGCGACAAAGACAGAAATATAGATCAATGGAACAAAATAGAAAGCCCAGAGATAAATTCACATACCTACGGATACCTTATCTTCAACAAAGGAGGCAAGAATATACAATGGAAAAAAGACAACCTCTTTAACAAGTGGTGCTGGGAAAACTGGTCAACCACTTGTAAAAGATTAAAACTAGAACACTTTCTAACACCATACACAAAAATAAACTCAAAATGGATTAAAGATCTAAATGTAAGAACAGAAACTATAAAACTCCTAGAGGAGAACACAGGCAAAACACTCTCTGACATAAATCATAGCAGGATCCTCTATGACCCAACACCCAGGATATTGGAAATAAAAGCAAAAATACACAAATGGGACCTAATGAAACTTAAAAACTTTTGCACAACAAAGGAAACTATAAGCAAGGTGAAAAGACAGCCTTCAGAATGGGAGAAAATAATAGCAAATGAAGAAACAGACAAAGGATTAATCTCAAAAATATACAAGCAACTCCTGAAGCTCAATTCCAGAAAAATAAATGACCCAATCAAAAAATGGCCCAAAGATCTAAACAGACATTTCTCCAGAGAAGACATACAGATGGCTAACAAACACATGAAAAGATGCTCAACATCACTCATTATCAGAGAAATGCAAATCAAAACCTCAATGAGGTACCATTACACGCCAGTCAGAATGGCTGCTATCCAAAAGTCTACAAGCAATAAATGCTGGAGAGGGTGTGGAGAAAAGGGAACCCTCTTACACTGTTGGTGGGAATGCAAACTAGTACAGCCACTATGGAGAACAGTGTGGAGATTCATTTAAAAACTGGAAATAGAACTGCCACATGACCCAGCAATCCCACTCCTGGGCATACACACAGATCTGAAAGAGACATGTACACCCCAATGTTCATCGCAGCACTGTTTATAATTGCCAGGACATGGAAGCAACCTAGATGCCCATCAGCAGAAGAATGGATAAGAAAGCTGTGGTACATATACACTATGGAATATTACTCAGCCATTAAAAAGAATTCATTTGAATCTGTTCTAATGAGATGGATGAAACTGGAGCCCATTATACAGGGTGGAGTAAGCCAGAAAGATAAAGACCAATACAGTATACTAATGCATATATATGGAATTTTAAAAGATGGTAACGATAACCCTATATGCAAAACAGAAAAAGAGACACAGATGTACAGAACAGACTTTTAGACTCTGTGGGAGAAGGCGAGGGTGGGATGTTCAGAGAGAACAGCATTGAAACAAGTATACTATCAAGGGTGAAACAGATCACCAGCCCAGGTTGGATGCATGAGACAAGCGCTCAGGGCTGGTGCACTGGGAAGGCCCAGAGGGATGGGGATGGAGAGGGAGGTGGGAGGGGGGATTGGGATGGGGAATACATGTAAATCCATGGCTGATTCCTGTCAATGTATGGCAAAAACCACTACAATATTGTAAAATAATTAGCCTCCAACTAATAAAAATAAATGGAAAAAAAAAAGTGTGTGCGAGAGGACAGCGGCCTGATCCTGCTCGGGCTCAAGAATGACCATGGCTCCGCCACAGCCACTCTGCACCTCAGCATGCTGGGTGAGCGCAGGGCCCCAGCTCGGCCAGGCTGGGGACACCCGCTGCTCTGGGCTCAGGGCACCATGTGGGCTGAGGACAGAGTTGGATTCTGGGTTGAGAATGGGGCTGAGTGCTGGCTTTGCAGCCAGAAGATGGCCACTTCCTAATTCCCTAACTCAGTGGCCTTGGGCAAGTCAATTAACTTTCCTGAGCCTCAGTTTCTCATCTGTGATAGAGTGGTTGTTTAAAGTGCCTTTTTATGAGTGAATTTAAAGACTGTAGACGAGTACACAGCACATTACTGACCTTCAGATGTTACTGAAGTATTGTAATTGACTTGGAGATGACCACATGGTTAGAAGTAAGGTGAAAATGAGGTGAAACAGAGGTGGGGTTTAGGGATGAAAGTAAGGTTCGTTGGGAAGCATTTTGGAGTTGGAAGTGAAACAGGGTGAAGGGAGTAAGATAGGGTCAAGGATAAAGTGAAATTGGAGAGAAAGCTGAAATGCAGGTAGAAATAGGATTTGGGATGGTCTGAACATAACGTTAAGGAAAGAGACGCGGGAACTGGCCTTAGTGAACTCATATTCAATGGGCAACACATACATACCATCACCACCTCCCCCACCTGCATCTCCATCAGGTGGGGGGCTGGGATGGAGTGGGTTTCAGTTAAGTTCAGCAGCATGACTGAGCACCTCCTCTGTGCTGTCAGTGCTGTGGACACAGGGATGAATTATCCCCAGCAGTCCCCCAACCTAAAAGGGATTAAAAAAAAAAAAAAAACAGCAGACATGGAATTACAAAATAAACTGTTATACTGGAGTTCTAGAAGCTGAGAGGAGGGGAGGCCTTAGAAGAGGACAAGTGGGAATCAGCTGAGGCAGGGGCCCCTCAGGTCTCCAGTTCACCCATTCCTAGGCAGATGAGGATCTTTGTGAGAGCAAGGATCAAGCTATTTAAGCAGGTCTTAGGAGAACAGTGACACAGAGACAGACAAGAGAGCTGCAAAGCTCAGGATCTAGCTATGTTCCAGTCTGGTGGACTCCAACCAGTGGCATGAAGCCCTTCTGGTTCTTTGCTCCAAAGCCCTTCTCTGATTCTATCTTCTGTCCTCAGACTGTCCCAAGCCTCCCCAAGGCTGGGTGGATTTCCTGGAGCTCTCAGGTAATTTGTGCACATGAAGTGGAAGGCCTTTAAGGACAATGGCCAGAGGCTTATAACACAGTTCATAGTGGAACCATGGGCAGTTGGCAAAAAGTCATGGATTAAGATCGGGGAGGTGGACAGCAAAGTCACCAAATTCTCCACCAGGGTGGAAGAAGGGAAAGACTACCAGTTTCCTATCCTGGCTGTCAATTCAGAAGGAGTAAACTATCCCCTGGAGACAAGAGGAAGTGTTTGCAGGAAAAGCTATTGGTCAGTGAGATAGCTCACTGGGGACCTCAGAGGCCAGTGTGGGGGCCTTCAGCTGGTGAGAAATGCTAGTGGGGGATTCCACAGGGTCATCTCTAGCTACCCTATGAGATAGATGGATTCTAGAGTAAGAGCAAAACCGTGTTGGACAGAAATTCTCAATGTTTTCCAGTGAGGTCGCATGTACAACACACTCCTGTGTATATATCCAGAACCATGCACAATGGCAGAAAAGTAATTGCACTTGCTCCTCCATTCCAGAAATCATCCCTCATCCAAGGGAGAGCAATGTTACTTTAGGGATGACCTTGAACCCACTCTAATTGATTTTTCCAAAGAAAACTCTTGACAACTTTGGCATTTTAATTATGATTGCTGGTTAATTACTTGCTACAGGCCTCCCACCTGATCTCCATGTTTCCATGTGTCAAGACAGTACATTAAAAATTGTGCCATTGGGGATGATACAGGTTGGAAAATTCAAGTCGTGGTTCTCTATCTTGGCTTCATGGGTCTCTGTCTTGGCTTCACATTAGAATCACTTGAGGTCTCTATAACAATGCTGATGCCTGGACTCCACCCTAGGCCAATTAAATCAGGAGATACGACCCAGACACTACTTATTGGAGGGGTGTTTTGGGTTTTTTTACTGCCTACTTGACATTAGTGTACAACCAGAATTAGTTAAGAATCATTGGCTTGAGGTTTTTAAGGAGGGAACCAGAGCTCAGCATGAGGTGCACAACTGTCCACACGCTCCCCCTCCTAACCTGTACCCTCTCTGTCTCCCTCTGTCTCCCACAGAGCCCCCGGTCTTGCCTCCCAGCCTTACATGACTGATGTGACCAATGAGCCCCTGACCGTCGTATGGAATGCCCCCGCCCAAGATGGGGGAGCCCCAGTGCTCCGCTACATTGTGGAGCGAAGGAAGAAAGGCAGCAAGCTGTGGGTGCCAGTCAACAAGGACCCCACCCAGGGTGAGGTCCTAGAGACAAGGGCCCAGGAGGGCCCAAGGGAGATTTTGCTGGGTGGACCCATGTTCCCCTGCTGCTCGGAACATAATTCCTCCTCCTATTCTTTTGCGGGTTTTAATAGGAAACCAATGAACCCTCACCCACATCCACCCATTCTATGGTCTCCTACCACATGGACACCCCCCACCCCAGCCTCATGACCCCTCAAATTCCAATTTCAGGCACCACGCACACTGTGGATGATCTCCTGGGGGACACAGAATATGAATTCCGAGTTGTAGCTGTGAATGAGGCAGGCCCTGGACATCCAGTATGTCATCCAACTCGGTGGTAGCCAAGCACCCAGCGAGTGAGTGCAGGGCTGCCCGGCCCCAGCACACAGTGGGAATAGCCATTTGGGGTAGAAAGGGGGGTTTCTCCTGAGGAAACTCTAGCAGGAGGGGGTCACACAGTCTTTACTCTCTGGGAGCTGCCAGCCTGAGAGACGGACAAGTTTGACACAAAGGAGAAAGCCAGCAAATAAAGACTGAGTGCTAGGGACAGCAAGGAGGCAGCTGAAAAACGAGTTTTCATTAGAAGTTGAGGATGTCTGGTTAGGTGAGGTGGTAGAGAAATGTGTGAGGACTGAGCAGGGTGATGAGTAAATGGTTGGGCAGGTGCTGAGTTCTGGTGGTGAGGTGGGGACACTGCACATGAATGGATGTGGTAGAGATGGTTGGGCTAAACGCTGGAGTTTTGAATGCAGAGGGTTTGACTATAGAGTGCATATTGAATTTGGAGGGCACTGACGTCAAGGCTGAAAGTGTTGCATCGTGATATGCAGATGATACCACCTTATGGCAGAGAGTGAAGAGGAATGAAAAAGCCTCTTGATTAAAGTGAAAGAGAAGAGGGGGAAAATTGGCTTAAAGCTTAACATTCAGAAAACTAAGATCATGGCATCTGGTCCCATCACTTCATGGGAAATAGATGGGGAGACAGTGGAAACAGTGTCAGACTTTATTTTGGGGGGCTCCAAAATCACTGCAGATGGTGACTGCAGCCACGAAATTAAAAGACGCTTACTCCTTGGAAGGAAAGTTATGACCAACCTAGATAGCATATTAAAAAGCAGAGACATTACTTTGCCAACAAAGGTCTGTCTGGTCAAGGTTATGGTTTTTCCAGTGGTCATGTATGAATGTGAGAGTTGGATCACAAAGAAAGCTGAGCACCGAAGAATTGATGCTTTTGAACTGTGGTGTTGGAGAAGTCTCTTGAGAGTCCCTTGGACTGCAAGGAGATCCAACCAGTCCATCCTAAAGGAGATTAGTCCTGGGTGTTCATTGGAAGGACTGATGCTGAAGCTGAAACTCCAGTACTTTGGCCACCTCATGCAAAGAGTTGACTCATTGGAAAAGACCCTGATGCTGGGAGGGATTGGGGGCAGGAGGAGAAGGGGGCGACAGGATGAGATGGCTGGATGGCATCACCGACTCGATAGGCATGAATTTGAGTAAACTCCGGGAGTTGGTGATGGACAGGGAGGCCTGGCATGCTGCGATTCATGGGGTTGCGAAGAGTCATACACGACTGAGCGACTGAACTGAACTGAGGGTGCAAGGCTAGGTGCTGAACATGTCAACTGTGAGTGTTCAAAGTTGAAGTGGTGAAAGTTTTCAGGGGTATTGAGCATGGGAATTGGGCTTGGGGTTGAGTGGGAAGAGTGTGGGGGTGGATGAGTTGTCTGTGTCACCTGGGACACCCCAGGCCTGGTGCAAGGCCTGCACATGTCTGATTCCTCCAACACCAGCATCTCCCTGGCCTGGCGAGAGCCTGCAGGGGGAGACCCACCCTCTGGCTACGTCCTTGAAATGCGGGCTGAAGATACCATGGAGTGGTCCAAGTCCACAGAGATCCCCATCTCAGGCACCTGCTACACAGCGGGCGGCCTCACCGAGGGGCAGAAGTACTTCTTCCGAATCCTGGCGGGGAACGAGGCTGTGGCTGGGGAGGCAGTAAAGCTGGACGAGGGGGTCTGTGCCATGCCACCAACAGGCGAGAGATGCACAGAGGGCTGGGGTCAAGGCCCCAACATCCTAGCTCCACCCCTTCCTCTCTGGGACCTCATCCTGTAGGAGACAATAGGGTGATGCTATGATCAAGAAAAAGTCATCCATACTCATGCCTGGATGGAGCTAGGGGTAATCCCAGGGGCTTTCCCACCAAAAACAAAACAGAATCAAAAAACCCAAAAACCAAAATCTCACTCATTGTATGCCAGATAGTGTGTCAAAGGAGGTGGTAGGGATATAGGGGGGAAAAAAACATAGGATCTGCCCTAAAAAGTCTTACATGATAATAGAGGGAGACAGATGAGAAAAAAATAAATGCTTTGCAGCACTGCAGGGTTCCTAGCTGCCTGTCTGGCCTGAAGTGACAGTATAAAGGGGAAGAGATTGGGAAAGGCTTCAGAAGGGACGCTTAAACTTGAGTCTTCTGGATAGAGCGCTGCTTGCTCCATCTTTGTCTTTTCCATCTCAGCTGCTCCCAAGTTTGACCTCAGTGCCTGGTTGAAGAGTCACATGGTGGTTTGCACTGGGACAGCCCTCTGCATCTACGCCTCCTTCTCTGTGAGTCATTCCTGACCCTGACCCCCAGATGCCCACCACTGAACCCAGATGGCTACCATGGCTGCCATAGCCTCTGCCTCTGCCCCTTGCCAGACCCCTGGCACCAGAACCTGATAGGAGACTCCTGGACAATGGGAGGGGGCCTGCCCCCAAATACCACCCAGGGCTCCCCACCACCCAATGTGATCTGGCTGAAAGATGGCATCCCTACCAAGGGCCGGGAAGTTATCACCAAGAGCAAAAACCGCTCCCAGTTCCTCATCAACAGCACCAAGTGTTCTGACTCAGGGGTGTACCGCATTGAGCTCCAGAATGTGTCTGGAGAGGTGTATCACGACTTCCACATGCGTGTGGCAGGTATGACAAGGAGCAGAGGCCTGGGTAGACATCCCTGCCTCCACTCCCCTCTGCTGCTGGAGTCTTACCACTGTAACGGCGTTCTTAAGGTAGTCAGGCTCCTTTGGCACCCAGAGCAAGACTCTTAGCTTTTGCCTTAATGCACAGAGTTGTTTCCACTTTTTCTCAGAGTCTTGAAACCCCAGAGGCATTGAACTAGGACTAAGCCCTTGTTTCAGTTTCTGCAGTCGTATCTGGAGAGCTTCAGGGCATATGCAGAGTGGGGTCAGTGAGAATAAGTAAGAGGCAAGAGAGACAGACAGAAATGAGTCCATTAAAAATTGGGGTAACTGGCCTGTATGTTATTGGAAATACTGTCAAAGCGTGTGATTTGGTCACCTAGAAAGCCCTTTTGGGGAAACTTCACAATCCCACAGTGTCACTGCCATATAGCTTCATTAGAATTCCTGAACCACTGCTGAAATGAGCTTCCTATTAATTTTTAGTTTCCCCCCAGATACCATTTAGAACTTTAATAATAAAGATGGTGGGTAAAACCTAAGAAAGAGCCTTTTCATCATCTTAAGTCGCAGGAAACTGCAGGTTTTGAGGTTTAACACATTGTGTATTCCTAAATTTACATTAATCACTATGATAAAGAGTATGTGAAACATTCCTTTACATTGATGCATTTTGTACCTCCCTCTGTTAAAAGCATAACAGCCCCTCCAAATTGGGGTGACCTCTTAAAGAGAATTGGAAGCTTTATAATAAAGCCCTAAACCCCCAAGGGATGAAGGGGTGAACTTTTATTAAATGGGTACTTTACCCAAACATTATTATGATAGCTATTGTTAGTCTTTTTTCAAGTGAGGAAATGGGTCTCCGAAAGTAACCTGCCTAAGTTCACAGGGCTAGTAAATGACAGAGCTGGAGCTACACTCATAAATAGTTCTGGCTCCAAGACTCTGGCTGCTTGAAACTTAGAAGATGAAGGTGCCCCATCCCATCCTCAGGACTTGGCAGGTGGCGGGCATGGGGGTACGATATTTCGGTGGGGGTGTGGAGCACGATATTCGGGCACGATATTTCCCCAGGGAGGCTGATGGATTTTTTCGGACCCTTCCAGATTTTCCGCGGCCACCCACAAACCTACAGCTGTTTGAGGAGGTCACCAACACGGTGACTCTGACCTGGAACCACAGCTCCGACTTGCAGGAGGGCGGCGAGGTCCACTACGCCATAGTGGAGCGGGATGCCAGTACAGCCACCTGGTCCACGGCGGCCGACCGCGTTCTCAGCAACAAGTACGCGGTGAACCACTCGCCTCGCTCCCCGCAGGCAGTGCTTCTTCCGAGTGCTGGCCCAGAACGAAGCGGTGACTCCAATGACACCTGCCTGGCTCGTCAACAAGGACAAGAGTGAGTCTGGGGACCTAGGGGTTCAGATCTGTGATCCCTGATGGCGGGGATGAAATAAGGGTTGCCAAGGGTACCCAATGCTGAGAAGCACTGAGGTGAAAGAGCTAACGTTGGGGACCCTGGGGAGAAAAACTAAGGTCTGGAAGCCTAGGAGAGGAGCTTCCTTCGGGGGACTCTGAGGGGTGGGACTAACGTGGAGGTGGGGAGATTCCTCTGGGGGCGGGGATGCCGGTAGAGGGCGGGAAGGAGGGGAGAGGATGTCGGTGGGGGACGGGGATGTGGAGCTGAGAAGCTGTTCCAGCCGAGGGGCTAACTGAAGTCCTGATTGAGGATTCAGGGAGGGTCCAAGAAGCGGAGATGACATCCGGAAACCCCGGAGGGAGGGGATTAAGGGTTGGGATAGCTGCGGGAAACTTGAAGTATGAATCTCAATTGGAGACAGCAGAGACGGTGGAGGCTGGGGCGCCTTGGAGAAAGCTTGGACCGGTGAGGGTGGGGAGATCAGACACATGTACACCCGTGGCTGATTCATGTCAGTGTATGGCAAAACCCACCACAATATTGTAAAGTAATCAGCCTCCATTAAAATAAATAAGTTAATTGGGGCGGGGTGTGGGGGGGGTAGGGGGGAAGCCAGCCAACAGCCCTGTCCGGAAGCTGGTGGCCGGAAAGAAGTCTAGGATGCCCAGGTCTGGGAAAGCGCAAAAGCCCGCGAACCTGGTTTAGGTCTTGGAACCAGCAGTGGCATCGGGGTGGGCGAGTGACAAAGGGAGAACTTCAGGAACCACTATGAAGTCGGGGCCCTAGAGCTGACGGTGCGTGGGAATCTAACCCAGGTCATCAGGGTTTCGTGAGCTGGGTCTCCGGGGCGTCTTCCGAGCTCTAGGAGGGAGCGCGGCGGGTGGGGACCTCGGGGTGAGCTCACCGCTCGCCACGTCCCCCACCCCCACCCGACCCCCGCACAGTCGAGGACCTGAGCGCCAAGCTGAAGCCGTACCAGCAGAAGGACTGGCGCCACGTGCCGCGCTTCCTGACCCTGCTCAAGCCGCACACGGTGCTGCGTGGCCAGGACTGCACCGTGACCCGCGCCTTCCTGGGGAACCCGCGGCCCACCGTCACCCTCTGCAAGGGCCACGTCAACATCACGGCCAACTCCAAGTTCTGGTACAACCCCACTAGCGGTGTGTGCACCATCGTCGTCCCCACCTGCACGCTCAAAGACAGCGGCGAGTACAGCGTGCTGGTGGAGAACAGCTGGGCAAGGACGGCGGCAGCTCCAAGCCCACCGTCCACGGTGAGGGCGCCGAGCCCGGCTCCGGCAGGCCTGGAGGTGGTGGGCGCCCGGGCTGAGTCCTGCCTGGTGCGGAGGCGCAAAATGGCAGTCTTGGGGGGTTGATCGATTAGTTTCCTATGGCTGACACAGTCTTTTATTTAATCTGCCATGGGGTGGTGTAAATATTCTCTAACTGACCATAGTTCAAACCACTCTGCCATCTTCTCCGTATCATTTGCTATGTATCTGGCCCCTGCAGACTTGGGAGTTGGCAATCCCTCAAGAGTCTGTAGTTTGCAACCCTTCAGTTCAGTTTAGTTCAGTTCAGTGGCTCAGTTGTGTCTGATTCTTTGCGAACCCATGGACTGCAACACACCAGGCTTCCCTGTACATCACCAACTCCTGGAGCTTGCGCAAACTCATTGTCCCTCCGGTAGGTGATGCCATCCAACCATTTCATATTCTGCCGTTCCCTTCTCCTCCTGCCTTCAATCTCTCCCAGCATCAGGGTAGTTTGCAACCCTTGGTGGGCTTAAACGTGCATTTGAAAAAAACAGTAATGATCAAGTCTAAACCAGACTTGACGAGCACAATCTCCCTGGCAGGGTTCTAAAAGGAATCTTTTATATTGACAAAATTTTCAATATATTTTTATGTGCAACGAAGACAAAACTATACTGGTCCAGGATAAGGATAGACAGGAGACGCTGAAGGGAATAAAGGCTTCCCCCCAGGTGGCGCTAGTGGTAAAGAACCTGTCTGCCACTGCAGGAGAGGAGGGTTCGATCCCTAGCTGGGGAAGATCCCCTGGAGGAGGGCATGACAACCCACTCCAGTATGCTTGCTTGGAGAATCCCATGGACAGAGAAGCTTGGTGGGCTACAGTCCCTGGGATCGCAAAGTCAAACATGACTGAAGCACACGAGGGAGAAATGATAGGAGGGAGGCCCTCCCTCTGCACACAGATGTGCCATGTTCCGCTCATGTGTGCACAGGTAGGGGAAATGTTTTATTTCTTCCTACACATTCTACTGTTTTCACAGCTAGACAGCTAGTTGCATGAACTCTCTAAATGCAAAGATGACCTACCTTGCTCTTCCCTCTTTGCTTTAAGCCTCCTAGCTTTGTCATGATCCGTTAGATAAAAATCACCCCCCATCACCTACCTCTCCACCCTCCTCCTCTGCCACCCTCTGAAGTCTCCAGGGCATGTATTGGTGTCCAGTCTCCATGGTTACAGATTCTAACCATCCTGTTACAGATGTCTTTCTCTGGGAAAGGACCATGTCCTGTTGCTCTGTCTCTCAAGTACTCAGCTAAGTGCCTGGCATTGAGATGATGCCTCCACAGTGGCTGCTGAACTGTGTAACAGAACTAGGCCAGGAAAGGCACCATGGGAGACATCCAGCTCTCATTCCACAGCTAGAGAGATCCCTGACAACTTAATTCTGGTTGTAAGCACATGGGCACAAGGCCCTGGCTCTAACACTAATCAGCCATGTGACCTTGGCAAGCCACTCTAAGCTTGTTTCTCATCTACTTCTTAGGGCTGTTATGAGGATTAAATGAGAGTGCATAGAAGTGCCTGGCACAATGCGTGGCATACATTAAATGAATAACTGGCAGTTCTTGGTCCCATACACTCAGCTGACCTTGGCAGACTGCAGCTGGGAAGGACTGAGGATCCTAGGCAGGGTCCAGCCCCTGGTTTCTGCATAGTGACTCAAGGTCCAGGAGTTTGGAGGTTCCCTTGTCCATAGGGTCATTCACACTGACAAATACTTTCTTTGCTCTTTCAGACAAAGATGACAAGTCAATTCTAGCATCTGTCACTGAGAGTCTGCAGAAGAAATCAAAGTACCTTAAGTGAGCTCCAGCCCAGCCCAGGCATCAGGAGGATGCTGTGACGTGGGGCTTCCTGGCCTGTCCTCTGTGTGGTCCCAGTGAGGGAGGCCCTGTATGCTCTGTGGTGTTTGTCAACATAAACATTCACTGAAGGGATGGGACAATACACTGAGGGTGCCTTTGCGTATATTCCTGACCATGGTGTGCACCAGGGACCAAGGAAATGGGACTTGGGAGTGGGATGGGCATACTCAGAAGCCCAACCCCTGAGAGCCTGCTCTAATCCCACCCACATGGGGAGTGACCAGTCCCCTTTTGGCTGGGCCTTGCCCTGCCTTCCCCTCCTCCACAACTGCACTGTACCTTGCCCTCCCCTCAGGGCTTAGCAGGGAAGTTTTGAACTTCCTCCCCAGCCTGCTAAGCCTACAAGTAGGTATGTCTTCAGTTTTGGGATTTAAATGGATCAAGACCTTGCCTCTTTAGTGTCCAGGGTTCCTACTATCTGGGCATCCCAGGTGGCTGAGTGGTGAAGAATTCACTTGTCAATGCAGGAGATACAGGTTCGATCCCTGGGTCAAGAAGATCCTCTGGAGAAGGAAATGGCAACGCACTCCAGTATTCTTTTCTGGAAAATCCCATGGACAGCGGAGCATTGTGTGCTACAGTCCAGGGGCTTGCAAAGAGTTGGACAAAAGTAAGTGACTGAGCACACACTCATGCATATTCATACTCTTTTTGAGAATCAAGAGAATCTGAAAGCTAGAAGGGATTGGTCATCCACCTCACTATGTTTGACAGCAGCAAACTCTTCCTTAAAAAATGTTAAGCTACTGGACTTGAAACAAGGATGGGGGTCTTTGAACCTCCCTCCTGTACTTTATTCTTTTGCTAGTTCCCACCAGCAGGGCTTCCCTGGTGGTTCAGCTGGTAAAGAATTGGCCTGCAATGTGGGAGAACCTGAGTTTGGTCCCTGGGTTGGGAAGATCCCCTGGAGAAGAGAAAGGCTACCCACTCCAGCATTCTGGCCTGGAGAATTCCATGGACTGTATAGTCCATGGGGTTGAAAAGAGTCAGATGCGACTGAGTGACTTTCACTTTCAGCTCCCAACACTAATCTCTGTACAGATGCTAGTTTGAAAATTACTGATTCATCCAACACCCATACGGGGCTTGAGTCTATCACATCCGCACAACTGTACAACCCCTCTACTGATGGGAGTATTCATTACCATCCATGACTTCCCTTTTTACTCTGGATCAGGGAGCTGCCCATTAAGATGAAAATGCCCCTGGAGTCAGGTGACAAGTTATTCTGCCAGGGCTTCACATCTAAAGCATGAATCATACAATCTAATCTCATTCCTCCCAGCTGTTCAGCTGAGCCCAGACTCCAGGGAAGAGGAGGAGCGTGAAGGGAATCTGGATTATTTTGGAGCAGGTAGCAAGTCTGGGCTGGGGAGGGCAGGAGGTGGGTCGCAGTAGAGGACACCAAGTAATGAGATGCGGGGCACCTGTGCATAGGGGAGGGCATTAAGGACAAGTTTGAATGGCGGCAACTCCTACCCATCCCCCATCCTCCTGAACTACGTCCTCACCCACACACGTGACCAGAAAGTGAGACCTACTCCAACCAGCACAGTATCACCAGTCACAGAGCCAGCCTGGCGCCAACATGCACTGGCCAGGACTGTGACCCGCGCCATGAGGACATCCAGGGCCCCTGGTACCATGCCCCCACCCCCACCTCTCCAGGACAGGCAGCACGTGCCACACAGGCAGACAAGCAGGGCAGCCAGTGACTCTTGTGGGTTTTTTTTATTTTTTTTTTCATGTGAGCAACAGGATGGAGTAGTCCCATTCTTGCTCCCCTTGCATTGAATGTGCCTTGGGTCTTATGACCCGAGAGTGTCATTGGAGCCCCTTCCTTTTGCTCCCAGAGCAGGAGGGGCAGGGAGGAAAGAACTGAGAGTGGGTGTGCATGTGGGGGGTGGCCCAGCTCCCGGAGCCAGGCTCAGCAACCCCTCAGCAGCTCCCTGAGGCCCTCTCCCCGTGAGACTTTGACACACAGCAGGTCAGAGACAGCTGGCAGAGTAAGACATAGGCAGGCTGGGAGACAGATCATACAGAGAAGACTCGCACACACACACACACACAGGCTGGCCCCTTCCTTTGGCATGGTTCACCCTAGCCCTGGGGATAGGGTCTGAGGGTAGTGGTGTGGGGCCTGAGCTCTGGGATGCCCTTTGAGAGATGGGACCAACTTGAATCCTTGGTACGCAGAACTTCCGAGGCCAAAGTAGTCCCCAGTCTTGCTTACCTGGACAGACACCCCTCCACCTTCCCACCCAACACTTAGACATTAAGATTGTTCAAGTAATGAGGATAGATGCAGGAAAGGGAGACTCCACTCTCATCCAGTCTTTCCATCTAGGGGCCTGTGAAAGGGGCTTCAAGCCCTGGGCATCTCAGCACAGACTCTTCCCCTCCTCCCTCAACTCTGTGTAAATCTGAAAGAGTGGAAGTGGGTGAGTCAGACTCTTTCATCTAGTAGAAGTTGGGGAGGTCAAGAGGCTGAGCACCACAGCCCTCCAGAGGGGCTCTGACAGTCCAGATGGGGTAGAGGTGGGAAGATCCTGGCTCCGGCAATGAGCTTTAGGCTGGCTTTTTTTAGTTCTCAACATGGTCCTGGACCATGCTTTGCTAGAAGGATCTTTTTCCTGCTTATCCCTCAAACTTGCACATTTCACAGGTGATACCTGCTGCCCCAGGTTGGTACTGTGGCCATCTCAATCCAGCTCTGGCAGGCTCCCAGGTTCTGGACTCCAGTCCCAGGAGAAGAGAGGGGTAACCAGAACCTGACCCTCATTTGGCTTTGCTCAGTCGGTAGTCCTCCACTGGTTCCCGGCTCTCGACAGCTGACAGGGCGATGAGCATCTGGGCGGCGTAGTAGGTGGACATGATGAACGCCCGCGAGTAGGGCACAGGGAAGCAGAACTTGTCGAGGCCGATGGTCAGGTCTGAGACGATAAACAGCAGTGCACCACCGCCTGCTGCTAGCTCAGTCCAGCGCCAGGCTGCCCCGACCAGATGTAGCCCCGCCATTGCTCGCCAGCCCATGAAGCCGACAAGGGCCACATAGACCCCCACCAGGTAGGTGAAGGCACCCGTGAGGCTTGGGTAGAAGACGGCATAGCACAGGACCGCCAGTACTGCCATCAGCAGACCTGTCCGAAGAGCCAATGGCCGCATGCCAAAGGCTGAGGCGTAGAGCATGTGGGTCACGGCAAACATCAGCAGACCTGGGAGTGAGAGGGGATGATGGGATGTTGAAGGCAAACTCAGGTGAGAAAACAGGAGGTCAGGGTAGGAGTGGAGTGCTTAGGATAACCCAGGAGCTCTCCCGGGGAAGTAACAGGGGTGGGAAGAAATCCAGGTAGGCAAAGATATCTCCAAACTCTCCTGTGGTACTCCAATCGCTGGCAAGGTCGTCCACCAACAGGGGCCCCAACAGTCTTTGGCCTCAGAACCCCTTTAATTCCCCACGTTCTTGTTTTAAAAAAAATTCTCTTTCCTAAATCCTTGGCCCCTCCCAAGGGTCCTCTAGCCCCCACCCCCAAGATTCCTCCCAGGTGGCGACTGTGATGACTGACCGTGGAGAAAGTAACCCTGGTCCTGCCAGATGAGGAAGGCATCGCCTATGGCGGAAAAGACGAGCCCCACGAAGATGCGGGTGGCACTGGGGTGGGTCAGCAGGAATCCCAGGCCATGGGCCAGGAGGAAGAGCCAGAGGCAGAAGATTGGCAGGCACTTGATGAGGGCGCTGACCCACGACGGACTGGACAAGGGCAGCCAGAGCACGAAATACACACAGGTAGCCTTGAAGAAGGGCACCAGCTTGGGTCCCTCACTCTTCACCTGGAAGACACGGGACAAAGGCAGCATTCAGAGCATGGGAGCCCAGAGCGGGGCTCAGAGCAGGACCCTCAGCCCAGGCATTCACCCCAAAGACAGGCCCACCTCCAAAGCAGGGAGGACAGACACAGAAACCCAGTTTGACCTGTCCCAAGCAGCCAGTATGAAAGAGCTCATCATTAACTTGAAGCTTAAATGATTAGGAAGACAAAGGGCTCCATTGTGCCTGCTACTCACGTCCCATTCTTGGCCCTGGGGCAGGACCAGAATAGTCACTGGGCAGAAAGCAGACTTTGGGATAGTGTCCCGTCCTGCAGCCCAAGGCTTCTCCCTTTCTGCCCCTTCCTTCTCCCCCTACAAAGCCCCTTCAGCCTCTCTCTGGCAGCATCAATCCCCAGCTGTCTGGAATAGAGGGGAGTCAGCAGCAAACCACAGAGATGCCACAGCTGGCCAACTCGTGATCCTCAGCAGTGGGGCCAGGACACGGGCCCGGCGACACCAGGTGAGTGCCAGGAATGCATGAGAATAAGCGCTGTCAACCATCTCAGTCCCCAGAGGCTCTCTTCTCAGCTGGTCTGCAACTCAGCTTCCACTCTAGCTGCCTTAGCCTAAAAGTACCATCAAGAACAAGGAGAGGAGACAGGGATTCTGCCTAGAGAAATGGACCCATGAGTGGGGAGCAAGAAAACTGTCCCTGAAATACCAGCAATCTCAGGGGCTGGGGGGTTGGAGAGGGTGTCAGTCAATCTCATTTTCCAGAGAACAAGAGCAACTTCAGGCACATCAGAAAGAGAGGCAGGAAGGGGAGGCAGGGTTCTCTCACCACCTTTTGATCTGAAGCCAGCAGTCAGGCTGGAAGGAGATGAGGAACTGAGAGGAGGAAGTTAGAGCAGCTGACTGGGTCTCAGCCGGATTAGGAGGGAGGGCAGCTAAAGAAGGGTTGTTTCCCAGGCCATGCAGGCACTCTGCAAGCTCAGGGAGGGAGCTGCTGTGGATATTCTGAATCTGGGATCCCCTGAAGCTGTTTTTCTTGGACATTTGGTACTGGGGCTCAGAGAGTGATGCGAAGGAGCTGAGGTTCCCGGTATACACATGCTCTGCCCAAGAGACAGGTCCCTGGCCCAGTGAGCTGCCCAGCTCAGGGCTACGGGTACACACTCAAGACTCTCAGACCTCCAGGCCATGGTTACCTGGCACTGAACAGACTGATGAAGGAGGCTGGGAAGAGGCAGATGTGGATCCAGGCTAAGCCTGCCCTTGCTCTGCCAGGGGTGAGAGCAGTGAGAAGAGATGACAGGGCTCCTTCCTATGGAGATTTCCCCCATGCAGGCTGGTCAGGGCAGAGACACCAGCAGGGGAGGAGATAGCTTATCCTCACCGTCCCCAGATCTCCCCAGCCTCACCTGCCACCCCTTGGAAGCATCTACTCCACAGCCCTCCCCCAGGCCCCCTATTTCCTAGAAGAAGGAACAGTGGGAGGAGCTGGGGAGGCTTTGACAATCTTGGAGAACCCAGCGCTAGGAGTAGGAGAGGGGCGGAGAAGAGACAAAACTTGAGGTGAGAAAGTCTGAACAAGGGGTGTCAATAGAGAACGACCCCTTTTCCCTTCTGCGCGTGATCCAGGCTGCCTAGACTCAGAGGCGTCACCTACACTGCCCGAGACTTCTTGTAAAGATGAGGAAAGGGAGGGAACAAATTGGGAACAAGACTCCCAGGAGGTCCCAGCTCCGCTCCCGCTCCCCCCCTCTTCTCTGCGGTCTGCTCACGCAGAGCCGGAGGCCTTGCATCCGTCCCCTTCCTCTCCCAGGGGGCCACCCGGCCAACCCGCGCCAGACACACGGAGATCAACAAAGTCACGCTTCCGAGTCACGTGCCCGCTGTTTTCCTCCCTCCCGCGAGCCGGCGGCGGGCGCGCGGAGGAGGGGCGCCGGGGTCTGGGATGCGGGGAGCCGTGACCGCGCCGCCTGCCGCCGGGGGGACGCGGGCGGCCGCCGGATCCCTGCCTTTCCTCGGACGCCCACCCCCGACGCCCCCCAGCGGCTTAGCCTGCCGCAGCTCAGTCCCCAGGTCGGTGGGCTCCGGCCGCGCCGGACACTGGCCCGCTCGCTCGCTCACACACTCACCACAGTGACCGGGGACACCATGGCGGCGGCGGCGGCAGCGGCCCGGGACGCGCCGCAGGTGAGGGAGGCGACGAAGGAACGAAGCCCCGGTGACCGACGATACCTCCCCGGCGCCGGGCGCCGGAGCTTCTGTCTGCGATCCCCGCGACGTCACGGCAGACACCGCCAATGAGACGTCTGGAGTCGGCCCGGCCTGGGGCGCTGGGCAGGAGGGCGGCCGGCGAGCCGGGAGAGGCCCCGCCCCTCCCCCCCCACCCTCCTACACCCCATCTTTACTGCCCCAGGGAGAGAGGCTTTTCAGGCCGCGCCCCTCTAGGAGTCCGTGCCAAGGCCTCCTGGAACCTAACTGTGACCCCAGGCTTTGGGGGACGACAGAGGTTGGCCGAGAGACAAACACATTCCTGTCCCGGACACAGGGCTACACACATTTTTCTCATAAACCGGGGTAAAATGCAAAGACAGAGTCCCTTCAGCCTTTAAACATGCAGTCCACATGGACACACTTGGTTAGATCCACAGCCTTCACTGTACACAAATACACATCGCAATGGACACTCGAGAGTCGGTAGACATACAACTTTTTAACATAAAAAGAGACATAGCAATCCATAGACCCGTGGGGGGGTGGGGTGGGCACAGTCGTGTCCGACTCTCTGCGACCCTTTGGACTGTAGCCCGCCAGGTTCCTTTATCCATGGGATTCTCCAGGCAAGAATACTGGAGTGGGTTGTCATGCCCTTCTCCAGGGGATCTTCCAGACCCAGGAATGGAACCAGCGTCTCCTGTGTCGCCTGCGTTGCAGGCATATTCTTTATCCGCTGAGCCTTTGGGGAAGCACCCCCCCCCCCAGAGATATGCACAAACACGTACAGGATCACAATTACCCTCTTAAGCACCAAACAAATATATAGACACAAAACTGACAGGCCCAGATGCACATATATCCTTTAAGGTGAAAAGAGAGACACATATATAGGCATGCGGCAGCCTATAGACCTACAACAACCACACTTACTCAATCACCCTTAGACACACATCTCTCACAAGTCAGAGACACCTTAACACCCACAAGAATGCCCTGGTAATGATAGACAGGCAGACCTGAGCATACTTAAGGACCCAAAGGAGTATGAACGAACTCTGCCAAAAATGCAACTTAAACAGATTAATGCTGAAAGAACACAAACTAAAGGTACACAAGCACATTTGGAACTGAGCACATGCAGAATCTTGGGAATTAGATGAGAGAAGTGGGAGGCAATCAAATGAACTGGGACCTAGTCCCAGTTTTACCACTTCCATGCTGTGTGGTTGGGTGAATCATCTCCCCAATCTGATCTTGATTTCTTCATATATGAGTGGATGATCTCCAGTGTTCCTCCCAAGCCCAACATGAGGGCAGGGGCTGTTGGTGTCAGGAAATTTAAGTCTAGAGGTCTTCCTGGAGTGGTAAAACTGGGACTAGGTCCCAGTCCATTTGACTGCCTTCCACTTCTCTCATGTAATTCTCATGATTCTGAACATGCTTGGTTCCGAATGTGTCCAGGTACCTTTAGTCTGTGTATTATCAGCATTAATTTCAGATTTCAGAAACATCTTAAAGGATGTTTCAGTGGTCTTTGATCTGCTGCAAACTCCAGGAGGTAGTGAAGGACAGGGAAGCATGGTGTGCTGCAGTCCAAGGGATGTCTGAGTCGGACATGACTTAGTGACTGAACTACAACAACAAAGAGGGAAGTAGCTGTGTGTCAACCTTTGGGAATTGGGGTGGGGTAACCAGCCGTACTTATCTCTAATTAGCAGCCATAAAGGAATTTTCAGCCTCATGGAATAGTGACACCATAGTACTTAATTTTTCCTTGTGCTGGGGAGAAGCCCACAGACTGAGATCTCCTGTAAGCCCCTCCCGCAATAGGCCTCTTTATTTTTTTGGACCCTGCCTATTTTCCCTAAAGCCAGTGTGGCCCACATGACACTCTCTCAAAGCCAGGAGCAGCCCTCTTCTAGTGAAAGAATTGACAGAGATTCAGAGCCAGGGAAATAAAGGTGAAAGACAAGGACTGGGGCAGAGGCTCACTCATACCCTTCCACTATCCCCTCCAGGCTCTTCCTACAGAGTCCTAGTGGATAATGAACTCCCCTTGTTCTACTTTCTTTCTAGTCAGAAGCTGTGGGGAAATTCACCTTACCACGATGGGAGACTAGAATTGCTGCCCCTGGCCGCTTTGTCTCACACACAAACACACACACAAACACTCCTACCAAGAGTGCTACCTGGAATGAACACTGGATTAAAAGTTACAAACACCGTACTAGCCCTTCCTCCTCTGTGACTTACTAGTTATATAACTGGGCACATCACTCCACTTTTGTTTTCTTATCGGTAGAATGAAGGAATTGGGCCAGAAGATATGTGTAAATATGTCAGCTTTTGACCTAAACCCTTTAATGTCACCTAAGCGATAATTCTCAGAGAGTGGCCAAGTTAGGGTATTTTTTCATTTCTCTGGATGTTAGTTTCCTATCCATAAAAATGAGAGGACTATTACAGTGGTTCTCAACAAGTAGGGCCTATCAAAATTACTTGGGAAGCTTTTTAAAAACATAGATACCCTTGTCCCACCCCAAACCTACTAATTAGGTGGCACAGATTGTAATAAACTTGAATATATCAACACCTTTGACATCCCTTGATGGCTCAGATGGCAAAGAATCCAGCTGCATGTGCAAGACCTGGGTTCGATCCCTGGGTTAAGAAGATCCCCTGGAGGAGGGCCTGGCAACCCACTCCAGTGTTCTTGCCTGGAGAATCCCCATGGACAGGGGAGTTTGGCAGGCTACAGTCCATGGGGTTGCAAAAAGTCAGACATGACTGAGCAAGTAAGCACAGCAAATAGATAAAACCTGAGACCTAGAATTGCAATCCACAGGGCTGTATCAATGTCTGATGACTGAATAGACAAGAATCAATTATATAGGTCGTCCACAAAGCAGAGGCATCTCCCCTCCGTGCTGATTATTTTGTTTGCCCTTCTACCACCCAGATCCTTTCTTGGTCTTTCTCCACCTTGCCCCTGGAGGTTGACCTCTGTGAACTGTATCACCAGGGTTCACTTGTGTTCTGGCTTCTGCGCTCAGCTAATAAGAGGCAGAGGCTGATCTGTGGTTGGAAGAGAACATGGCTGAGGTCCCCCGCCACCCACCACTAGTCTGCTGAGTAAGACTGAATTTCCATTAGTGACTGTGCTCTTCCATGGCTACAACTCCAGGCTTCCACCCTGGACCTCAGGCCTAGGGTTGGCAACAGCTTCCCACTATTGCTAGTCTTCAACCCTGACTGATTTGTGGCTAATTGCTGCTCTTCAGCTCTGACTAGTTTCCTTAACCCTGCCCACATCTCTGCCATCTCATAAGTTATATTCTTGAATGTAAGTTATATTCTTGAATCAGCAACCTGATTGATACAGTCATCAATGAAGCAGAACACTGCCCCCTTCCCCTAAAGAAAGAGCTTATCTAATTTCATTCCTATGAATCAGATTTCTCAGTTGTTTCAAAAATGCAATTGTATGTACTGTGTAGTGTTTTTATGTTGATTATATAGTATAACAGGCAGAAGATGGGATAGGGCTGCCTGAAATTAGACATCCCTTCCTCTCTGTACCCAAAACTACCTATTTCACACAACTTGGTAATTTTCTTTTTGCTTGCTTGTCTCACCTATCAAAGTTTGAGCATGTTCGTCCATTCATTCAACAAATGTTTAGTGTGCACCAAGTATGTCCTAGCCACTACGTTAGATGCTGGGGTTTAAAACCTTCTGTAAGATATAGGTTCTAGGAGCTCCCTGGCGGTCCAGTGGTTAGGACTCTGCACGTTCACTGCTGAGGGCCCAGGTTCAATCCCTGTCCCAGGAAATAAGATCCTACATGCCGGGCGACGCAACCAAAAGAAAAGTAAATATAGGTTCTGTAATCGAGTTCAGTTCAGGCAGGCAAGTAAACAATAATTACGGAGTGTGGCAGTTGAAATAATTGAGGTATGAAGGTATGTCTCCTATGACATCAAAAAGACATCTAAAAGAATCTTTTAGCATGCCTTGAGGAGTTAAGAAAGCTGAGGCTAAATCTATAGAGATGAGCTGGTCTTCATTGAGTATACACCAGTGTTCTAAGTGCCAACTAAAAATTGTCACTTGCCTTCTACCTCTACAAGGTCACTAGCTACTGCAGTCGCTGACCTTTAGCACACTGTAAAAGGAGATCAGGGAGGAGACCAGGAATGAGGCCCTCTGTGCTCTGGAAAAAACTAGCAGAGCAGGCCTTCAGATAGTTAGATATTTTCAGGAGATTTTATGACCCTAGTTTCTTGCATCTTCTCATATCTAGAAAAGCACTAAACTCATTAACAGAGATATCTGCTCCTCGTGACTAGCAGTAAGTTTCTCATGACTAGCAGCAACCCTCTGCCCAATATATGCATGTATCCCCCTTCACTAAAATCATCTATAATACTGTCCCCTGCCACACATCTTTGGAGCAGTTCCTCAGATCTGTCTCAAACACTGTCTCCCAGGCTATAGTCTTCATTTTCCCCAAATAAGACTTAACTCACAACTCTCATACTGTGCTTTTTTTTTTCTTCCGGTCAACATAGGACAGAGGGAATTGCATGTGTACATAGAAGTGCAAGAGACACACGGAATTCAAGGAAATACCTATCATCTTGGGGAGAGCTGGGAAGTGGAAAAGGTGAGCCTGGAGAAGTAAGGAGCCAGGTCAGAAAGGATCTGAATGTTCTGCCAGCCAGTTTGGACTTGACCTAATAGATGACAAGAAGCCAGTTGTCTTCTGTTCCTTAGTTTCTATGATTGTTTTCTGTTCTCACACACCAGATACATGGAGGATACACAAAAATGGTGACTGATTATTAGTCTGGGCTTGCCTTTCTTCCTCTTGTGGGACTTTTTCTCACCAGTAGCCTTCTCTATCTCTGATCACCATAGTTTTGCCCTGGGATAT